AATCCAACTTTTTCATGGTGCCAGATGTCCAGGTCAGAACAGTATCCACAGACTAAAAAATAAAATAATAAAATAAAACTGGGCCTGGTGGGATGGTTCATTTGGTTATTCTCCCCTTGCAAGCACCAGGATCCCATATGGGCGCTGGTTCATGTCTCGACTGCTCCATTTCCCATCCAGCTCTCTGCTTGTGGCCTGAGAAAACAGTTGAGGATGTCCCAAATCCTTGAGACCCTGTACCCATGTGGGAGACCCGGAAGAAGCTCCTGGCTCCTGATCAGCTCAGCTCTGGCCATTGTGACCTTTTAGGGAGTAAACCAGCGAAAGGAAGATCTTTCTCTTCTCTCTATAAATCTGCTTTCCCAATGAAAATAAATATATAAAACAAAACAAAACAAAATACTGTGCTTCCAGGTGAAACCTGCAGCCTGTTGACTCCAAGAGGAGCTGTCATCCCCCTGGGCACCTGCAGACCACCAAACTCCACAAACTTAATTCTTCCTTGCAGCCACCCAGGTCTTTTCTATGTTTATTCTTGCCACTCAAAAAGAAAATTGGAATTGTCCATAGAGTTTTGTATCTAGTTTCATCTACACAGCAACTCTGAGGGCCAGTTCTTACCCCCATTGCATTTACAGAGGAAGAAAGCAAGGCTCAGTGAGTTTGGGTGATGGGCTTGTGGGTGCAGAGTGGCAGAGTATAGATGAAAAGGATCCAGGGCTGCTGGGTTTCTTGTTCCACACTGTCTAAAATCCTGGGGAGCGGAGGAGGTGGATTTTTAATTTGACTCTCATTTGCATATATACATATGCAATTCCTCTCTGGAAGGACTTAAGAAGAGCCAGAGAAGCTGATTCCTTCCAGGGAAGAGAGTAGAGACCAGAAGGCAGGGAGGGACACACTCATGGACCAGGCTTCTGCATCTTTTGGAAGATGGCCGCGGTTCTTTCCTTCTTTACAGCGTACCTTCAGCAACTTTCTCCTGGTGCGAGGAACTGTGGCAGGGGAGGGGAGCTGATGGAGTCTGCCCTTCTTGAGGAATGCCTCAGTTGCCCTGGCAGCCCACTCAGGTCAACCTGGGGGAGACTGTGCCCCTTGGCTGGCGCCTTCAGTCTTAATTATGCACATGTGGTCTTTCAAGCTGAATTGATTTCTCTGCTCAAGAGTTTACTGTTGTTCTCACTGGGGTCAATGGCTCCTGGTTTCAGCTCTTTATGCCAGAGGAGAGAATGGAGGATGTGAGCTTGGTGAGAAAGGGCTGGGGGAGGAAAGCATGAATGATGTGCAGTGCCACACCTCACACATCAAACAACCTTGGCCAAATCGCACTTCCCTTCTCGAAGATACTGTGTTTCTGCTCTGTGACACAGTGATAAGGAGATTGCTCCTGTCCTGCTCCCCTCATGGTGTTTCCCAAGCACATCAACTGAAATAATACACACATATAATGCTGTACCAACAGGCAGAATCATGCCTTTTACTGTGTTTTATGTGTGGACTAGTAGACAGACTTGAAGCATTATTCCTTGTAGTGTTAAAATTCATTCTATTTGATAGTTTACTCCCCAAATTCCTGCAGGAGCTGGGGCTGGTAGGTTCAAACAAGGAGCCTGGAACTCAGTCTCCATCTCCTATGTGGATGACAGGGATCCAGGCAATGTGAGCCATCACCTGCTGCCTCCCAGGGAGTGCTTCAGCAGGAAGCTAAAATTGGGACCAAAGCCAGGACTCAAACCCAGACATTTTACTGTAGGATGCAGACATCCCAAGCAGCATTTTAACTATTTCCCCAAATGCCCACCATTGTTTCTGATTTTTTTTAATAAAGATTTATTTATTTTTATTGGAAAGGCAGGTATACAGACAGAAGAGACACAGAAGAAGATTTTCTGTCCATTGATTCACTCCCCAAGTAGCCGCAACGGCTGGAGTTGAGCCCAACCGAAGCTAGGAACCAGGACCCTCTTCCGGGTCTCCCAGGAAGGTTCAGGGTCCCAGGGCTTTGGGCAATCCTCAACTGCTTTCCTGAATCACAAGCAGGGAGCTAGATGGGAAGAAGGGTTGCCGGGATTAGAACTGGCGCCCATATGGGAACCCGGAACGTTCAAGGAGAGTACTTTAGCCACTAGGCTATTGTGCCAGGCCCTGTTTCTTATATTTTTAACTTTTCCAGTCCAGTATCTATGTGTAGGTGTGTATACAGTGGGATAGAAGGGACCACAACTATGGACTGCTCCTAGCATCACTGGCTATGTGACTTGTGTAAGCCCAGGGTACTGTTATTGCTGTTGGATGGAAATGCAGAGTCCAGCCAGCTAATAAAATGGTCAGGTACTGGCATCTATGACTCCTAGTATCAAGGAAGCCTCCTGAGACCCGGGGGTCCCCACTGGCTTCCTTTTCCCTTAGCTGACTGGGCAGTTAAAACCTCCAACACTCCAACTGTGGCAGTGATACTTGTTCATTGCAGAAAATAAGCAAGAATAAGAAAAGCACTGAGATCACTGCTCACGCTGCTACCCCAGGATCAGCACTATAAATATTTTCATGGCTGTACCTCCAGGTTTTTGTGCAACTGGGGTCGCATGGGTGACTTTGTGACCAGTCTTTCTCACATAATACTCAGGACTTGTCAGCCTTGGAGAACCTGACACACAGCCATTCTCACATCCCTCTGGCACATGAGTTATTTCCAGGGTTTCCCATGTAGACAGTGCTGCATTGAACATCCTTATTTATACCTCTTTGGGTGTGCCTGATGATTTCCTTGGGATAAATTGCTAAAAGTAGAATTGCCAAATCACACACACACACACACACACACACACACACACACAGCACTGTAATGAATTTTAAAATGGAGAAAGTCTGGTGGAAGCAGTTTTTAAAATTTATTCTTTTGTTCAACAAGCATTTGTTAAAAATCGTGTTAGATGTTAAGTGCTGGGCCAGGCATGGATGACACAATTGTGAACGTAATGCTACTTCAGGGAGCTTGTGGGGTTTGGGAGAGGAAAGAGCCAGCAATGTGGCATAGGAGGATATGAAGCCACCTGCAAGCCCAGTATTACAAATGGGCACCAGTTCACTTCCTAGCTGTTCTACTTCATATCTAGTTCCCTGCTAATGAACTGAGAAAGCAGTAGAGGATGGCCCAAGAACTTGGAATCCTGCATCCATGTGGGTGATCATGAAAATTCCTGGTTCCTAGCTTCAGACTGGCTTAGCTCCAGCCACTTGTGGCCATTTGGGGAGTGAACCAGCAGATGGAAGATCTTTGTCTCTCTGTAAAATCTGATCTGTTTTCCAATAAAAATAATAAATAAACCTCTTTTTTTAAAAAAAATGCGATCAGCACTGTGCTAAGGAGATCAGTTTGGCCATTTGCTCAGTGGAAAGTTGGCCTAGGTTCATGCTCAGTATTCCTTGGAGGAATGGTTATGATGCTGTGGGTTAAGCCCAAGCCCAAGGTGCTGTGGGCATTCCAAGCATCTGGATGTGAGTCCTGCTTCTGCTTCTGGTGCAACTTCCAGCTAATATGCCTAGGAGGCAAAAGCTGGTGACTCAAGTGCTTGAGTCCCTGCCACCTATGTGGAGACCCACATGGAGTTCCAAGCTCTTGGCCTTGGCTTTGCCTAGTCCCTGGCCATTGTGGGCATCTGGAGAATGAAGCAGCAGATACAACATTCCCCCTTCTCTCCCTCCTTGTGTCTCTTTTAAACAAATAAATGCATCTTCAGGGAAAAAAAAAAAAAAACACCTGGAGGGCTTGTTGAGACTCTCCTGGGCTTCACATAGACTTTCTGATACAGTAGGTCTGGGATTGGGCCACGACTTCCCCCACCCTCCCCTTCCATGCAATCTGTGACTGCACCAAGCACAGGAGGTGAAGTGGCATGTTCTTCACCTCCTGCCTTTTGACCTTCCCATGCTTCCTGGGCACATTTTATGGCCCCTTTTATCTCACCTATGACAGAAGGAAACCAAGTAGATGATCTGGGAAGCCCTCCCGCCTCAGCTTCCCATAAGTTGTGCTGCATGGTGCTGGGAAAAAGCTCAGGTCCCTGGAGGGTGTGATCCTGGCCCTGGTGACCCTGCCCAGGGGAAGTGCATCCATCACTCCATCATTGCTGTCAGCTGGAGCCCCTCCCTGGTCCCCTTGATAGGCAGAGGAAGCAGGGCTGCGGGTTCCCATGGGAATCCGTGTTCCTTTTCCCCTTATTTCCCAGGACGGACTAGGAGACAGAGGAAGGTGACCTTCCTGCTGAGAGCCTGGCCTTCAGGGCCCTCTCCATGGAGCACTCATCCCCACAGTGCAGTTGTCCTTTCCTGGAAAGTGGTTCTTTTCAAGGAAGCAGTGGGCTTCAATGGCCTGACCCTTCGCTGTCCTCCACTTGACCAAGCTGATGCTAGTAAACATCAGTAGCCTGCCTGGACTACCTGGTCTTGTGGGGACTAGCCCTGCTCTTCCTGATGGTTACAACATCCTTCCAGCCCCACAGCACAGGAAATGTCCCCTGAGAGTGGAGTAGGGGTGCTCCTCTGTGCATCCCCCCACACCCTAACATCTCTGCATGGGACCCCCAGCACCCCTTTATGAACCTTGCTATTGAAAACTTTCTTCGGTGTGCGCTCTTTGCTAGCAAAGGTGGAAGGCAGATATGAACAATGATGTTCATAATAATGGAAGTTATTACTCAGATTTATGTTTTTTTAAAGGCTGGCCCCTATGTACCCATAAATCTCCATAGCACAGCTGAATAAACTCAAGACTGAAGGAGAAAGAGGCATTCGCACAATTAGTACGCAATTACAACCAATTCAGCCCGTTCCAGCAGCTGTAAGTCCTTCATAACCGCTGCGTGGACACAGGGACTTAAGAACTGGATCAGTGGACCGGACCAGGGTCGCGCTCGTCTCGGGCGTACCTGTGGCGCGTGCGCAGTTCGGTGGCGGAGCCCTGCGGGTCGCGCGCAGGAGGCGGTGGCGAAGGCGTGCCCAGGGCGCCTGCGCGTTCGTGGAGCCGGTGGTGGCGCTCGGCCGCGGCTTTGCTCTCCTGTGCGCGGCGGGCGCGGCCATGGCAGAGTCGGGGAACCCGCTGAAGGAGCAGAAGTACGACCGGCAGCTGAGGTGAGCCGGGCCTCACCGAGCCCAGCGGGCGGGCCAGCGGGGTCCTCTGCGCCTGGGCCGGGCCTGAAGCGCGCGGACGAAGCTTGGGGGCCTCCGTCAGGGCGCCCGCCAGGCCGGAACGGGGCCTGGCCGTGCAGGAACTAGGGCTCCGGGTTCCGGGCTGCGGACCGGGGCCTGGAGAGCCCGGCTAGCACCTGCACTGCCGTCCCCAGAAGGGCGCCCCCGCCAGCCGCGCGGGGTGCGGGTCAAGGTGCGCGGTCCCCAGCGTCCAGCCGGGTGTGCAGGGCCGCGGCCCGTCTCGCCTCGCCGCGGTGCTGCCCTCCATCGCTTCGTTTTGGTAGAATTGGCGGTGGGGGTGGGACCCAGAGTACCGCATCTCGGACACTTAGAGCGGCCCTGGGCGTTAGGTTTTGTTCCGAGTCATCGCTGTCCAGTAACAAGACCAGAAATGCGATTCCTAGTGTGTGAACCACGTATGTTTGCAACTGCAAAATTTCCAGTAGCCTCATTAACAAGTTAAAAAAAAAAAAGGTGAAGCCATTTTAAACTAATGGTTTATTGAACCCAGCATGCTCTAAGTACAACCATTTCGATGTGGCAGTTGCGGCACATTTACAGCATGTCTCAGTTCAGAGTCCCACGTTCCTGGTGTGCAATAGCCACCTGGAACCAGTGGCTACTTGGAGGGACAGTGCGGGTGTGAAGCGCTAGGTGGTAGCTGGCCACTTCTACCCTCGCCTGTTCTGGCACTGCCCGGTCAGTGTGTGTGTGGGAGGGCAGTTGTCATGTTGATGCACTGGAAGTTAGAGTAATTCTTGGCACCCTCCTTCCGGGGCCCATCCATAGTTTGCAGTTACAGGAGCAATAGGTTCCTAAGGATTGGAACTTTATTCTTTTGCTGAGAGCTGAACAGAGAGCCCACTTAAGTTTTTTTGTTTTGTTTTTCAAAGAAGAGAGGGAGAGACAGAGATGTCATCCATCCTTTGGTTCACTCCCCCAGATAACCACACATGGCCAGGCTGAAGCAAGAAGGCAGAAACGTGGTTCCGTCTCCCACGTGACTGTGAGGACCCTAACACTTTGGCTTTCTTCTGCTTTTCTCAAGCTCTTAGTAGGAAGCCGAATTGAAAGTGGAGCAGTTGGGACTTGAACTTGTGTCGATTTGGGATATCTGCACTGCAGTCGGTGACTTTACCCGTGATGCCGCAGTGCTAGCCGCTGTCTTGAGGCTATTTAAACAGCTGGGACACATGCAGGTTTTTACTGAAGCCCTCCTATTGAAGGGCCACACTTAAGCTTTCACAGAAAGAATGTCAGAGGAAAGCAATTAGAAGCAACGTTGTCTGCGAATGGCTTTGTAGTAAATGGGATAAGCTGCTGCCTGCGATGCCAGCATCCCATATGGGTGCTGTTTTAAGTCCTGTCTGAACACACTTGCCATCTAGCTCCCTGCTAACATTCCTGGGAAAGTAGTACAAGACAGCCCGGGTGCTCCTACTCCTATGTAGCAAATCTGAATGAAGCTGGGCACTTGGGGAGTGAGCCCAATGGATGGAAGAATAAGTTGTCTCAACTGTTTATAACTTTGCTTTTTTTTTTTTTTTAAGATTTGCTTTCTTTCTTTTTTTTTTTTCCAATTTAAAAATCAGATATGCAGAGAGGAGGGGAGACACAGAGGAAGATCTTCTGTTTGTTTACTCCCCAAGCAGCCACAATAGCTGGAGCTGAGCTAATCCAAAGCCAGGAGCCAGAAGCTTCTTCCAGGTCTCCCAAGCAGGTTCAGGGTCCCAAGGCTTTGGACCGTCCTCGACTGCTTTCCCAGGCCACAAGCAGGGAGCTGGATGGGAAGCGGGGCTGCCGGAATTAGTGGGATCCTGGTGTGTGTAAGGCAGGTACTTTAGCCGCTAGGCTACAGTGCTGGGCCCAACTTTGCTTTTTTAAATTAAATCATTTTTTAAAAAATTTTATATATTTTTATTTTGAATTTTTGAATTGGGTGGTACAGTTTCTTATAGACTGGGATTCCCCCCTAAATTCACACCCCCCGATAGATTTTTCCTCATTTTATTACAATGGTATAGTCCTTCATAAGGAATCACAATTCCATCAGTCTCTTATTTAAGTGTACCCTGACATTGCTGGTACAGGCAATATCAGACAGTCCAGCATCCCATTGTCTACACATTTCCAACAGTTTCATTGGGAATCCATTTTTCGTCTGGAAGCAGGAATGAATGTTGCATTATACCCCCACATCTGGATATGGTGGACCCCAGTACTCCATTACTATATACATTTCCATAATTGAGAAGCCATGAAACAAGATGAGTTAGAACAAAATGAGTTAAAACTGGCATGAGTTAGAACAACCGCAACAACGACAATGACAAAAACAAATCATAGCACCATGAAGAAATGAAATAAAATACGAAATAAAATGAAAATGAAAAAATGAAATAAATAAAGAGTACATGAGATTAAAAAAAAAAAAGTCCAGCCAACTAGTGATTTACAAGGGTTTGGTTCTACTGAGGCTGGCAAGAGTGAGCGAAAAGATTGCTTTCCTATTTGAACCCTTGTTTGGAACATTTAAGGCGGAGAGGCACCAATGTGTGTGTTTGTTCCTTCTTTCCTTCTTTTCCTTCCTCCATCCTCTCCCTTCCTTCCTTCCTTCCTTTTTATTGAAAAGGTAGATTTACAGAGAGAAAGAGAGAGACAAAGATCTTCTATTCGCTGGTTCACTTCCCAAGTGGCCGTAATGGCCAGAGCTGAGCTGATCTAAAGCCAGGAGCCAGGAGCTTCTTCCAGGTCTCCTACGTGGGTGCAGGGTCCCAAGGCTCTGGGCCATCTTCCACTGCTTTCCCAGGCCACAGCAGGGAGCTGGATGGGAAGTGGAGCAGGCGGGATACGAACTAGCACCCCTATGGGATCCTGGTGCATGCAAGGTGAGGATTCTGCCACCGTGCTGTACTCAGCATCAGTGTTCTTAGGATAACATTCCAACTACCCAGGCCATCAACTACATAGGTCAGGTGTCTTCTGTGTGCCCTACTTTCATGGAAATAAAGGGATTTTCCCAGTCCATCTGGTTTTTCCAGGTTATTCTTTCATTTGATAGCCCTTTAGCCGTCTTCTGTCTTGTGCCAGACATGGGACTCCAGCAGTCTTCTGGTGCTGTAGCTGGAGTTAGTGATGGATGATTAACAGATCGAACACTTGTGAAGTGGTTATTGTCATAAGTTCTGGAGCATGAACCAACTTAGGGTGACAGAAGGCAATTTTTAAGTCTTTGTGCTAGTCTTGGTCAACTGATACTGTCATGACCAAACAGCAGTTTCCTGGGTGAAGTGAATCAGATTGTCCTAGAAGTCACCATCCTTGTGTGGTCTGTATCTTGTCCTGTTAATGATACCCCCACATGAATCAGGTTGTATCAAAGGTTTCTAATCCTTATTTAATCTTCATTAATGCATGTGCCTGTTAATCCTATTAAAATGTTCACTCGATACTATTTATTTGAAAGGCAGAACAAGAGAGAAGGGTAGACGTATCTTTCATCCATTAGTGGATGAAAAGCCACAATAGCCAGGTGTGGGTCAGACCAAAGCCGGGAGCCAGGAGTTACATCCTATGCGGATGTTGTGTTAGCAACAGTCCCCTGTGAACTTCCAAGGCACATCAGCAGGAAGCTGGATTGTAAGCAGAGTAGCCTCTGGGTAATGCTTTCGCTAGCTCCTGCAGACATTACAATGTAAAGATTTTAGATGCACTAGTAACTTAAGGAGAAATGAGTTAGAGGAGAGACTAGGTTTTAAGTCTAAGACACTTTGTGTTGGTGAATATATCTAAAGATCTTCTGTCCTGCAGGTTATGTGGTTATTATTAAAAAAAAAGTAACAGGTAAGGAACCAGGTGGGAGGCCCAGGTTTCTAGTTGTGAATTAGCTCTGCCCTAAAACTGTTTGAGACATCATCAACCTGAGTCTTAAATTTCTCAACCGTCAATCCCTCAGTAACCTGCATTCCTCTCTCGTGAGTTTGGTGTGGCTGTCACATCATTTACACTGCACAAGACATTCAGAGATCAAGGTCAGTGTTGAGTAAGAAAGTTATGTTTTTGTGACAGTTCTTAAAGATATTGAATTGTGTCTTGTTTTGCAGGTTGTGGGGTGACCATGGGCAAGAAGCTTTAGAATCTGCTCATGTTTGCCTGATAAATGCAACAGCTACGGGTACTGAAATTCTTAAAAACTTGGTACTACCAGGTAATGCCGCTTGGCAATTCTGTTCTAAACTTATTTCTTTAACATTTTGAACGAGAAGCACCTGTTTTTCATTGACCCCCCGGTATTCATTTTCTCTCCCAGGTATTGGTTCATTTACAATTGTGGATTGCAATCTGGTCAGTGGAGAAGATGCTGGAAACAAGTATGTTTGTTCTTTTCAAATCCGTGCAGGGAAGATGGCACACTGTCCTGGGAGCTTGAGGCTGTCAGGGTGACCTTCACTTTCTGATGGAATTGCTCTTCCTGTTTAGAGTTGTGATGAGGGGGAAGTGAGTTAGTACAGGTAAACTGCTAGTCCAGTATCTAACAGGTAGACCATTAATAAAAGGCATGCAGTCTGTGGTCTTTGATATTAGTGGGAAGAAGTAGTCATTGTGTCTGTTTGTGAAATCTGGCTACTTCTTAAGCCCTTGCACTGATTCCTAAGTGTTAGGCCATAATGAACAATAATACATTTTTGAATTACCTTTGATTTGTGGTAAAACAAAAACAAAAGGTGGTACCTTTAATTTGTGGTGTCTTCTAAGATTAGCTCAGGTTGCTTTTGCTATACTACGCATGCTATAAAAATGATGTTTTAGCAATGGCCTGAGTATCATTCTTCAGTTATCATATTTAGATTCTCAGAGCATTCTCACAATTGGACTTCAAGTTTACCTTCTCAGGGTCTTGAAGCCTGGGATCTCCCGTAATATTGGTCAGTAAGCAACAATGAAAAAATGCAAGAAGAACTGGGGTTTAGTTGATATTTTGCTTTGGGATCTCTTTAGTCCCGGTGCTTTTGCTTTGCTTACCTGTTTGGTTGGAGCAGGATGTGATCAGAGGAAGGTTTCTTTTTGTTAGGGAGCTAGTGAATTCATGCCACAAAGTAGTGCCTTGCAGCCACCTGCATCCTAGCTGGGCCTTAGGCCAGCAGGAGGGAATGCATGGGAGGAAGCTTGGATGAATCTCCCAGTTACCTGCAAAGGTGAATGCTTCAGTGTGGCATGATCCACCGTGACCTCTGCTTCTAGGGAGCATGAATAGGTGTTAAGTGGGCCAGAAGATTCCAGGGTCAGAGGAGTTTGAGAAATGGACCACATGAGGTTAGAAGTCTTCTGCTCTAAGACTTCAGAGTGTGTGTGTGTGATGAATTTCCAAGCAGGGGCCATAAGCTGGTGGTGGTCAAACTTTTGCCAGGGAACCTTTTTACTTTCAAGGCTTCTCTTAAATTTGTATTCTGTAGTATATATGTTTGGAAAATTTGAATTACTGGCCTGTCTTTGTTTATAACTTTCACCTGATTTTCTTCATCTGAAAAGACTATTAGAATCCATCATTGAGATACAGGATTTGTATACTATGAATGAAATATATGCACTGTTACCAACAGCTTTTCCTTATAGTAAGATATACCTTTAATCTTTTTCTTTTTTGTTCTTCCACTTTAGTTTTTTCCTTCAAAGAAGCAGTATTGGCAAGGTAAACCAGTAAATTATAGAATGTGGATGTGTAAGCATTGGATTATACCACTGTGACTTAATTATCTGCAAAGCTTTGACTTTTAAAAGAGCGTGGCATATGTCATTTCTATGAGAAGAAAAAAAACTAAGTTAGCTTGTTTTCCTAATCATATAGATCTTTATGTGTTTGGTAGTTTAACCATTTAGATTTATTTTTATTATTTTTTTATTGGAAAGGCGGATATACAGAGAGGAGAGACAGAGAGGAGATGATTCACTCCCTAAGTGAGCCCAACGGCCAATGCTATGCCGATCCGAAGCCAGGAGCCTCTTCCGGGTCTCCCACGCGGGTGCAGGGTCCCAAAGCTTTGGGCTGTCCTCGAATGCTTTCCTGGGCCACAGGCAGGGAGCTGGAAGGGAAGCGGGGCTGCCGGGATAGAACCGGCGCCCATATGGGATCCCGGGCGGGCAAGGTGAGGACCTTAACCACTTGTGCCACCGTGCCGGGCCCCAGTAGTTTAACCATTTAGAAGGAGGGAGGCAGATGTTTTGATGTAGTAGGTTGAGCTACCCTCGTATGTGACACTGGTATCTCCTACTGTGTATTGGTTCGTATCCCAGCTGCTCCTCTTTTGATTCAACTCCCTGTCAATATGCCTAGGAGGGAGCAGATTTTGGCCCAAGTACTTTGATCCCTGCTCTCCATGTGGGAGAACTGGATGGAATTCCAAGCTTCTGGCTCCAGCCTGGCCCAGACCGGGCCATTAGGGCCACTTGGGGAGTGAACCCAGTGAATGGAAGTTCTTTTGATCTCTTTGTCTCTTTCTCTCTCTATCATACTGTGTATCAAATAAAGTAATAGTTTTATTTTGTTTTGTTTTAAGGAATTTGTAAGTACTGTCTGTATCCCACATCAAAGCTAAATCTTTAGTAATGTTCTTTCACAGAATGAATTATTTTTTAAATAGGATCAACCTAAGAAAACATGTTCTAATTTCTTTTACTTTTTCGAAAAATATATTTACTGATTTGTTTGAAAGGTGGAGTTATAAAGAGAGAGAGACAAAAATCTTCTACTAATTCACACCATAAGGCTTTATCCAGGTGTGCCATATGAGTGGCAGGGATCAAAGTGCTTGGACCATCTTCTTCTCGTTTTCTCAGGTCATTAACAGGGAGGTGGATAGAAAGCGGATAGCTGGGGCTTAAACCTGCACCCATATGGGATGTTAGTGTTGGAGTGAGCACCTTTTCCTGCTGAGCCACAATGTGGCTCCTGGAAACTTTTATTAATAAAAGTTTTATTCACTTTAGCTATAAGATTCTTTCATAATACTTATTTCAGATAAGAAATCTTTTTTTTTTAATAAGATTTATTTATTTTTATTGGAAAGGCAGATATACAGAGAGGAGGTGAGACAGAGAGGAAGATCTTCTGTCCGATGATTCACTCCCCAAGTGACCGCAATGGCCAGAACTGAGCCAATCCAAAGCCAGGAACCAGGAGTTCTTCTGGGTCTCCCACATGGGTACAGGGTCTCAAAGCCTTGGGCTGTCCTTGACTGCTTTCCCAGGCCACAAGCAGGGAGCTAGATGGGAAGCAGAGCCACTGGGATTAGAACCAGCATCCATATGGGATCCCGGAGCATGCAAGGCAAGGACCTTAACCACTATGCTATCGCGCTGGGCCCCAGATAAGAAATCTTACTAGATTGTACCGGTTAAATGAATATTCTGAGTGGAAATGACTGCTAATCACTGACTATTATTGGGAAGTGTTGAAGGTATGGGAAGTTAGAATGACTCTAAACTTGATCCAGAATATCCCTGTCTGATGCTCAGGGCTTTTTTGTCATTTGATCAGAAAACCAGAGTGCAAATAATGTGATCGCCTAAGAATTCTGGATAATAATGTTTAACTCCATTTTAAATAATATTCTGATTGAGTCTCAACCACTATAGCAAGCAGAATTGTCATGCCTGTGTATGAAATTGAACAGTTTTATAGTGTGCTTTGCCCGATTTGTAAATAGGGAGATTATGTTGTACTTAAGTTTGTTCTAATTCAAGCCAAATACTTTATTTTTAAAAAGAACCGAGCTCAAGCTGCCATGGAATTGTTACAAGAACTAAACAGCGATGTGTCTGGAAATTTTGTGGAAGAGGTACAATATATATATGCATTATTACTTTTCTGAAATATAAGTGTATAAGAATACAAAACCTTAGAGATTTAGAATTTTATGTCTGTGTCGTTTATGTTTAGGATCTTTGCCTCATCTGTTCTAAAACAGCTTAACTTTTTCTGCCATGTTTAATATGATTGTGAAATTGTTGGATTTTTCCCTTTGTCTTGTTTAGAGTCCAGAACACCTTCTAGACAATGATCCTTCGTTTTTCTGTAGGTTTACTGTTGTGATTGCAACTCAACTTCTAGAAAGGTAAATTTTCATGTGGATGTGTGTTTAATTTAATCTTTGAGGTTTGCTTGGTTTTATTGTATCTGGACAGTCTAAGATTCAGTTCTAAAATTCTTAAATTCTATAGAAACTTTTCACTTGAAGCTCTTTTACATCTTTGAGCAATGGGAATATGGGATGGGAAAGAGACGAATGGGGGTACAAAACTTTTTTGAATGTATTTAGAGCAGTTAAATAGGACAGTGATTATTTTTTGTGGGTTTTTTTTTTCTTTTTTATTTAATTTATTTTTTAGTGAGCTAGTTAGGTGCTGGGACTTGGCCTGTGGCGAAGACTGCGGCTTGGATGCCTGTCCTACGTCAGAGTACAGTGTACAGTCCCCCATTGCAGCTCCCAATGACAGCTTCTTGTTAATGTGGCCTCACAGTGGGAATGGCTCGAGTGGTTGGGTTCCTGCCCCCATGAGGAAGACCTGGATTGAACTCCTAGCTCTTAGCATCAATCTCAGCCATTGCTAACATCTGTGCAGTGAGGAGTTGGGAAGTCTGCCAGTCAGCCTCTTAAGTGAATAAAAGCAAAAACAAAAGCAAAAACTAGTTAAAGTTGATTATAGGAATTTGGGGTGTGTTGTATTAATTCAGTTTTTAAAGTCTTATTGTCTGTCATAGACTTGTTTGGAAAGTATCTTTTCAATAACATTCTCCATGATACAACAGTTTAGGGCTGTACACATTTCTTTGAGTCTGCACTGTTGTGGAATTGCTTGCTTTTTTGGTATATTCTTGACCTGCTTAAGTTAATGCAATGAATATATCTCTGCATTTGTTATTTAGTAAGAAAGCTGCTTTGTTTTAAGGCATTTTTGTATTGGCATGTTTCATATATATCCATTTGCTTATGTTTCCTTTTTGTTTTGCTTTCCTTTATAGTACTTTACTTCATCTAGCAGATGTCCTCTGGAATTTCCAGATCCCTCTTTTGATCTGCAGGACATATGGACTGGTTGGTTACATGAGGATCATCATAAAAGAACATACAGGTACAACTGAGGCGCATATGGGGCCTCCGCTGGTTGCTTTAGCTACAGATTTAGAAACTTGACAATTTAAGAAGTCAGTTTTAAATTACAAAGACAGTTTGTAGCAGCATGTCATTATCAGATTCAGTATGCTTTTAATTCACTATTTTCTTCAGATAGTGGTATTACAGGAAGATAGAAAGTGGAAGATAACAACTGAGCCTCTTCCTCCTTACGATGCCCAGCAGCTATCCAAGTAGCTTTCCTCTTTTACCTGCTAACGCGCATGGAGTTTGTAAGGCTGCCATGGGAGAGAGCCACGGTGTGTAAGAATCACCTTGCCACAGAAGTGACACTGTTTTTCCCCTTCCAGTCTTTCATGCAGACATCACAATCCAGTTCCACACAGAAAAGCAAGGCATTGGCCTACGTATTGTTTCTGAAGACAGTGTTAGGAGAGACCAAAGGCAGGCCTGTATCAACTCAGGGATGATGTTAGCCTCTGTGTAATTTTAACTTAGGTTCTCATAAATTTTCAGTCAGTGTACATTTGTGCCTTTAACACTCAAGGAAGCGTTTTCTTCCTGTGCTGTGCTGGCGATGAGCCACACGCCCTGCTGGTGCAGTGACAGTTCTTCACATTGGTACCATCATTGGGGAGTGTCACCTGTGCAGATAGGGAGCGGCCTGTCAGAAGTTTCTGGGGTGAGGGTGAGAGTGGGATGGCATTTAAGAATTACAAATTGACAAGTGACCAAAAAATTATTATTTTTAAAAGGTGAGTCACTCTGAATTTGAGAGGGGGAATGAATGAATTTATAGAGGTAAAGACTGGGGGGGTAGGTAAAAGCAAGTGAAAACCCCTGACTTAGGAAAGATGTTATAGGATGGGGAGAGAGGGGTTAGATAATGATGAAGATACCTCTGCTTGCTGCATACCTACCTGTTTATGTGGATTGTTTATTTAATGTATTTAATGTTTCTGAGAAAGTGCTGTATCTTTTTATTGATGGTGCTGAGACAGAGATTATTACTACCTGACTTATTGTATAAGATCATGTTGCTAACAAGTGACAGGAGGAGGCCTGGCTCCAAATTCTCTGTGTGCCTTCCCATGTGGATGCTGTGTGCCAAGTGAGGTCAGGAGGTGGGGACCGCCTGACGTGGGAGCCTAGGAAGCAGGAAGTCAGGATGACCATTGGGTTTTGAGGGAAGAGATCTATTAAGGAGGCAGTGAGCTCTCTTTTGAAGGCCAAAAGGAGAGTAGATTGTTAGGTGTTACTTTACAATTAACCTCAGTTCTGTTCTAAGGAATTTTGTTTTTTAATTTCATTAAAACTAACAAGCCATCAAAATTTGTGCATGTTGCTATGTGTAAAGTATAACATTGCAAAAATCTTGTAGGTCCCGAAAATTAAGAATTAGAAATTCCTTCCTTTATTCTTTTTTTCCCTTACTGCCTTGCCTTTTTCCTTCCTTCTTCCTTTCTTAATATTGAAGAAGTTTATTGGAAATAAAATACACTCGGTAGGCCACATGGGCATCTTAGAAAAAAACTGAGAGCCCCATCTGCATTCATACTGGAGTTTTTATTATTTATATGTGGGCTTTCCATTTTTTGCCACCTCCTCCCTGTCTGGGATGTCTCACTGAGTGGAGGGCAAATTACAGATTTCTAAGTTCCTGTAAGGTGCTCTTGTGCCAGCAGTGTTTTTAATTAAGCTTCCCTTTTGGAATTGCTTCACAGTAATAGAATCTCATCCAGATAATGCATTGGAGGACTTACGCCTAGACAAGCCATTTCCTGAACTGCGAGAACATTTTCAGTCTTACGATTTGGATCATATGGAAAAAAAGGTTCGTAGTTTTGTGCCCTTACCATTTAGATAGACTTAAAAATTTTTAGCCTGATTTTTCTGAATTATACTAAAATGGGAAGGTATTATAAACTTTCACTTTTCTATCATATAGGTTACTCTGTACAGTTTTACTATGTTTATTTTTAATAACTTTATTTTCCCTCCTAATTTAAAAAAAACTTTAAGAAGTATATAAACTAAAAGTTCGTCAACTGGGTCAAGAAATCAGACATTTTTCTTCATAGCTCTTTCCTCAACAAATGATTGTACTTTAGAAAAGTTGGGATTTGGGTTTGGTGTTTGCTGAAATTGATTCCGTTTGCAGCTTAGTTTTAGTGTTTGGAAATTATGAAGGCAACTGTATTCTTCCTTACAGAAATCATGACATTTATAATGAGTAGATAAAGAATGTATTTGTTTTTCACATTTAACTAAATTGACCAAGTTTATTTGGCTCCTCAGGAAACATAAAGAGTCCTCTTCTTTCTTCTCTCTCTTTTTTTTAATTTTTAAAATTTTTATTGAAAAGTCAGATATAGATAGGGGAGGAGAGACAGAGAGGAAGATCTTCTGTCCCATAATTCACTCCACAAGTGGCTGCAATGGTCAGAGCTGAGCCAATCTGTTGTTTTGTTTTTGTTTTTGTTTTTAAAGATTTACTTATTTATTGGAAAGTCAGATATACAGAGAGGAGAGACAGAGAGAAAGATCTTCCGTCCAATGATTCACTCCCCAAGTGACCTCAATGGCCAGTGCTATGCCGATCCGAAGCCAGGAACCAGGAACTTCTTCCGGGTCTCCCACACGGATGCAAGGTCCCAAGGCTTTGGGCTGTCCTCGACTGCTTTCCCAGGCCACAAGCAGGGAGCTGGATGGGAAGTGGAGCTGCCAGGATTAGAACCAGCATCCGTATGGGATCCTGGTGCGTTCAAGGCAAGGACTCTAGCCACTAGGCCACACTGCCGGGCCCAAGCTGAGCCAATCTGAAGCCAGGAGCCAGGACCCTCTTCCAGGTCTCCCACTTGGGTGCAGGGTCCCAAGTCCTTGGGCCATTCTCCACTGCCCTCCCAGGCAACAGGCAGGGAGCTGGACGGGAAGTGGGGCTGCAGGGACACAAATCAGTGCCCATATAGGATCTGGGCACATGCAAGGCGAGGACTTTAGCCACTAGGCTACAGTGCTAGGCCTGGTCCTTTTCTCTTCCTCTAGAATTGATGTCTGAAATCCAGCAATCTGAGTCATTGTAACCCTTGAGACTGTTTTCTTGCTTGTGAAATAGGAACAGTCATAGTACATACCTTGCCATCCATGATTCATTTGAACACTGCCTCTCAATAAAATGTGTAAATTTTATTAAGCCGGTTCATTCTTTTCTGTCCACTGCTTTGAATATACTAGATGATCGTAAATGCTGTTTTTATTAAGAATGTGTTTTAATAAAGAATTATGGTAATTTATACTGACATTTTCTTTATATCTCAATTTTAGGACCATAGCCATATTCCATGGATTGTGATCGTTGGTAAATATTTAGCTCAGTGGTGTAGTGAGGTAAGTTTTTTTTTTTAAACAAGAAATTCTGTGTGATTGTTTTTACTTTATTATAACAGATTTCCTTATGTGGAATAGTGTTTGATTTTATTTTTTTCCCCTTAGGAGGTTTTAGAGCAAATGGGTATTTTAAATTTTAAGCTGAGCAGTTCTTCTGTGGTTGATGATACTTTTATTAACAAAGTAAAATTTGAATAAATGTCATCCTGGAACTGACAGTGGGTGGTGAATGTAGAGGGCTGGCCCACAGGTTCTGTTTTCTGTCAGGTGAGCCCTGATTTTACTGAGGTACAGACTGAGGAAATCTCAGGTGGAGGATGGGGAAGACTTTGGACTCTGAATTTCCGTATTTTGAGTTTTATAACTAGATTCTTAAATTTTTTTAAACCAATATAGACAAATGGACGAATACCTAAAACATATAAAGAAAAAGAAGACTTCAGAGAGTTGATTAGACAAGGTAATAGTATGGGATGTATATAATGAAATATTGTATAAAGTTGGAAGTCAGATTGCTTCAAGTAAACATCGATGGGATTTCTATTGATACTTTCATCAGAGGATGACATTCTGAGCTTTTGTTTTGCTCCTCTTTCTGGGGGTGGGGTGGTGGAGGAACCACTTCTTGTATGATTTGAAGGAATGATGCTAAGCTCTATTTCTTAAGTTCCAAGATGCTGCTGCCTTCAGAATCTGACAAGGTTGGTTGTGTTGTTGAGGAAACAGGCATGAGAAGAAAAGGGCTACTGTTTGCTAATTAGTTCCTGTTCTGATAGGAATCCTAAAGAATGAAAACGGGACTCCTGAAGATGAGGAGAATTTTGAAGAAGCTATTAAAAATGTGAACACTGCACTTAATACAACACAGGTATGAAAAGGGTGGCCGTGGGATTCATCTAAGATGCCCTCTGACGGCAAATAGTTGATTATCATGATTTCCATCAATGTCTTCTGATTCTAAATACATAGTTGGAAAAAAGCATTTCTGATATAGCTTAAAACTATGTTCATAAGAGTTTGTGTAGTCCTTGTTAAAATGAATGTCAGAGCTTCAGCGTATAAAGCTGATAACAGTAGTTCATACGACTTAGTTGAGATTCGTGACTTGTGAATTGTAACTGCCTAGAAGTAAAAGTTATATAATGAAGGTGATGTTTTGTTGGCCCAAAATAGTGTTGCCTGAAAATCAAATTGTGTTTCTCTGCATTTGTTTTACAGCAGTTATTTGGACATAATAGAAGATGTTCTTTGTTAATTATAACATTATTTGGAGGATAATTCAGAGGATAATTCAGATCTCTTTTCTTTTATTACGGCTTTGATGTTGATTATGACCAAAGAGCTTTGGAATAACACACCTGGGTAGTTTAAGTTCAAAATTTATTAGTTTAAAAGAGTAAAATTGTTTTTGTTTTCACATTAGGAAAACAGTTATCATTACACACAAAAAGGCATTGTTGCTAAGTGGTGGAGGTGTGTGCTTTGCATATCTGTTTCCTGGGGAGGTATAAATTTTATATCCTAATTGGGTTGATGGGTGAAAACACATAAGTATACTTAATTAGAAAACATCAAATTGTATACTTAGGGTTGATTTCACACTAAATATATATAATTTACCCCAATTTAAAAAATACAATGTCCTGATGGTTAGGGCACAGTAAGTAAGCAAGCACATAGAAATGTACCAGTTGCTGTGAACAAAATTAGAGCAGAACAAAGAGGGACAGCCTAATAAGGTGGAGGGGGTCTAGGACTGGAAGGCAATTTTATGAGGGCAGAGTTTTTTAAGCAGAAGCCTGGTTGAAATGACCTGCAGAGGTATGTCTGTCTGGTAGCTGCCCAAGGACCAGGAGCACCTGTGCTGAGGCCCTTTGTGTTCAGGGCCCAGGAAAAAAACCCTGTGTGATTGGTGTGAAGTGGAGCCAGCAGAAAATGTTGAAGAAGCTGAGGCCAGAAGGCCAGATCATCCTGGGGCCTTGTGGATGATTGTATTTAGATCAGAGAATGGACTAATAGACTTTGTATTTCTAAAAGATCATCATTCTGGCTCTTCTGAGGCAATCAGAATGTCAGGGATAAAGAGTGAATGTACAGACCCAGCACAACAGCCTCGCAGCTAAAGTCCTCTCCTTGCACATGCCAGGATCCCTTGTTGGCACTGGTTTGTGTCCCAGCAAGCTGTGTGGGAGACCAGAAGAGGCTTCTGGCTCCTGGCTTGGGATCAGCTCAGCTCCAGCTGTTGCAGCCACTGGGGGAGTAAATCAGTGGATGAAAGATCTTCCTGTCTCTTCCTCCTGTCTGTATATCTGACTTTGCAATAAAAATAAATAAATCTTTTTTTTAAGTGAAAGTACAAAGGCCAGTTAGGAAGTTACCCACTAAGAGATTTCTTTTTTCCACATACTAGAATCAAAACCTATATTTTGTGTAGTTATTAATATATGATGCAATAAAAATCCCTCTGGTACTGATTCTAGATAAAACCAAATAAATTAGAAGTTCATTCATTAGAAGATACAATTTGAGAATTCAAAAAACTTATTTGAAGAAATAGAATTGTCATCAAAAGTGGGCACAGGGCCCAGCGGCATGGCCTAGCTGCTAAAGTCCTTGCCTTGAATGCACCAGGATCCCATATGGACGCTGGTTCTAATCCCGGCAGCTCCACTTCCCATCCAACTCCCTGCTTGTGCCCTGGGAAAGCAGTCGAGGATGGCCCAATGCTTTGGGATCCTGCACCCATGTGGGAGACCTGAAGAAAGTTCCTGGTTCCTGGCTTCAGATCGGCACAGCACCGGCCATTGCGGTCACTTGGGGAGTGAATCATTGGACGGAAGATCTTCCTCTCTGTCTCTCCTCCTCTCTGTATATCTGACTTTGTAATAAAAATAAATAAATATTTAACAAAACAAAACAAAAAAAACATGGACGCATTCTTAGTATTAATAAGTGTTTTGTTTCCTTTGCTAGATCCCAAGCAGTATTGAAGATATATTTAATGATGATCGTTGCATAAATATCACCAAACAGGTAATGATAGTAAGGAATAAAATTTTTTTTTCAAAAAAAAAAAAATTTTTTTTCTAAAAGTTCATTTCAATGTAAGGTGCCTCTGAATGTTAATTTCTTCTGAATTCTTCTAGACACCATCATTTTGGATCCTAGTTCGTGCCTTAAAGGAATTTGTGGCCAAAGAAGGTCAAGGAAATTTACCTGTTCGAGGCACAATTCCTGACATGATTGCAGATTCAGGAAAATATATAAAACTGCAAAATGTGTAAGTCACTGTACTCAAATAATTTTAACTGACAGATTAATCTTTTTTTTTTTTTAAGATGAACATTTTATCACTCAGAAATCAGTCAGTTAGGGCTCTCATTGCTTTAGAAATAAGCTAAAGAATTTAGGGGAAATTTTTTTTCCCTTCAAAGATTTTTTTTCTGCTTGAAAAGTTGTAGGTTGAAGCAAGATTGAGTGGAACATGCATTGAATTCCTATATATCCTCCAGAACTTTCAGATTTCATGATAAAACTTAACATTTCATCACTTACTCTGAGCTCTGAGCTAGTTTGTGTAGTAATTAACAACACATGCGTTGGGTTTAAACAACCATGTGAGAAAGATGCTGTGGTCATCTCTGGTTTACAAAGAGGAAACAGAGGCAGACAAGGTAAATGACGGTGCCAGGGTTTGAGCTCCATGAAGCCTGGCTCCAGAGCCTCTGCTCTGAACCTTGGCCATCTCTTGCAATATTATCTCTATCACAGAACTGTGAAAGCTTAGTTTTGGTGGACTTTTTGGCATTTGATGTGTTCATAAACAACAGGTAGACACCTACCTCCCAGGTGTCAGTAGCTGGAACCCACATAGACTGTTCCAGGGATGTGTCTCAGTCACTATTCCCCTGGTACTGATGAATCCCCGGCTGCTGGTTTGGTTTCCTCAAGAGTCAAATGGTGTCACACAGGGATGTTGCTTCCCCAAACCACCCTTCATGCCAGTTACTGTCTAACAAATCTTAATTTTGTTGGCTTAGCCTGTGACTTCAGCTTGAGGAAAAACAACTGAAGGTAGAAAAAAGTGTGGCCTAGTGTGGGAGATAGTTTAGCTTACACAGTGATCATTTCTAAATAGATCTTAAGAATATTTTTTACATGAATTTATAAATAGTTTTGAAATATCTAGCTTTCCTTGGATTTGACTTGGATGAGGTAAGTCATGTTCTTCAGTAACATGTTTTCTCAGTTCCTGAGTCAGAGGCCTGGATCATGGCTCGCTCTAGAAGTTTTTAAGTTGGGTTCCGTTCGTTATACAGGGGGCCTGGATTTTAGGGGGAGTGGTGTTTTTCTTGCCAACCCTGGAAAAACCCCAACTTCTACCAGGTGCTGCTGGTGGTGTTTCCTGGTATTTTCACATTTCATGCGTTGCCAGACTCATGGTATCTCATGAAAAGAGATTATTTGTTTGCTTCAGAGTGATAATTTAAATTCTGCCAGGTAACAATTGTCCTAATGGTTGCTGCTGCTTCTCTGTCCCTAGTTACCGTGAAAAAGCAAAGAAAGATGCTGCTGCTGTGGGTAATCATGCTGCCAAATTGCTACAGTCCATTGGCCAGGTAAGCTGATGGGCGCACTTTGGTTTTGCCGTACGTCTCTGTATAGCCTGATCATGTAATTCCAGACAGAAAGGGTTTCGTTGGCTCTGTGATGCTTTCGACAGAGCTCTCATTTGTCTGCCTAGAGTGAATGTTAGCAATAGGCAAACCATGCTGTTTTTCAGGCACCCTCCCAGCTCTTGGAGAAAGTCTTCCCGTCGTAACAGTGATTGGCTTTGTGCCATCCTTTGTTCATCTTTGCTGTACTGGAGCAAAAACCTGCCTTTATCTCTTTACAGGCACCAGAGTCCATTTCAGAGAAAGAATTAAAGTTGGTCTGTAAGTCTACTTGGCTTATTTTACTTTGTAAAAAAAAAAATTTACCACAAGGAACATTTCCTAGGAGTTCCAAATATAAATGGTTGGATTCTGAATTTTCTGTGGTCTTAATGGAAAGATATATAGCTGTTAGGTAAGATTTTCCCCCCTCTTTCTGTAGAGGATACTTTAACACTGTCTCTGCGGTAGAACATATCTACCTATGACAATGCCAAAAAGGCTTGAAGGTCAAAATTATCATTAATGCAGAATTATTTTCATCTTGTTAATTTTAATTTGGGAAATTTTATTTAAAGACTTTGAAGTCTTGAGTTACATATACATTGATGGTACTGGTTTAAAAACTCATTTTGGTCTATGTTGAATGACTCTGATGGAATTAAGAACTGGTTGTCTAGTTTCAGAGTAGCTAGGCTCAGTTTTCTCTATGACTCATATTCTTTTATTCATGAAATAAGTTTAAAAATATTTTTTTTTCAAAATAATATTTTTAAAATTTCTCTTACATGTCATCTGAAGATTTTTCCCTCAATCTATTATACCTAGTTTCTACAAAGGTTTATATTCTACATACTACCTGTCTTTTAAAAAATTTGTTTTTATTTTGTTTGGAAGACAGAGAAAGGCAGAAAGACCTATCTACTATTCAATTTCCCAGTGTCCATAGCATGGTGGGAGCTGAGCCAGGCTGAAGCCAGGACCCTGGAGTTCAAGCTGATGTCTCCCACATAGATAGCAGGGACCCAAGAATTGGGTCCAGCACCTGTGTCCTACCAGGATATAGATTAATGGGAACCTGGAACTGAGAGCAAAACTGGGATTTGAACCCAGGCACTCTGATACGGGGATACAGGCATCCCAATTGTTGTGTTAACCATTTTGCCATACGCCTGTGTTCATGTTCCCTACTTTACAGTAGACTTCCTCAACCTCCCTGTTTCGTGACTTTTCCACAGTATCTATTTAGGCTCAATCTTACTGTTTTGTGCCATTGTGTAACATACACTTTGTTTCTGAATTTGTGTCATTACACAGTTGTAAACTAAAAGCTTGATGTTGGTTATTTGAGAGTTTGCTATTCTGTTCTGTCTGTGTTAGGGCTTATTGATAAATTTCCATAATATGAAACATTAAAAAAAATTTAAATACCAAGAGCACAGTAGTAACACTATTTTCTTTAGGACTGTTTGTCCATAATATGGAAACACATTTATTGAGCCATTTCAGGCATTGTGCTCTGTATTTTATATGCTTGTCACATTTGATCTATAGAAAACTCTAAAAGGTAAATAGTATTGTTTTGAATTTACAAATGAAAATGGAGCTCAGAGAGGCACCTTTTTAACTAGTACTGACCTGGTTTTATGCCAGGGATACAAATTTAAGAGGATTTGTGTTCCATTGTCTTCTCTACTAATTATTAGACATTTTTTTACATTCTGTATCTGTGAAAGATACATAGAAAATTTCCTTGGCCTGACACGGTGGCCTAGTGGCTGATATCCTCGCCTTGAACATGCTGGGATCCCATATAAACACTGGTTCTAATCCCGGCAGCTCCGTTTCTCATCCAGCTCTCTGCTTGTGACCTGGGAAAGCAGTGTAAGATGGTCCAAAGTCTTGGGACCCTGCACCCGCGTGGGAGACCTGGAGGAGGTTCCTGGCTCTTGGCTTTGGATTGGCTCAGCACCGGCTGTTGTGGTCACTTGGGGAGTGAATCATCAGATAGAAGATCTTCCTGTCTGTCTCTCCTCCTTTCTGTATATCTGCCTTTCCAATAAAAATAAATCTTTTTAAAAAAGAAAAAAAATCCTATTTGTTAGCTGTCCTTTGACTCAGAATATTCACCTATCCACAACCAGTGTTTCCATGATTTCTTTCTTGTGTTCAGGCAGCAATTCTGCATTTCTTCGAGTGGTAAGATGTCGATCCTTAGCTGAAGAATATGGGTTGGATACAATTAACAAGGGTGAAATTAGTAAGTATCAGAACTTTTGATGCTAACTTGATTTTAATTTAAAGATGCAAATTTTAATTTACATATTGTATAAACTGAATTTACATGAAATGATGTTTGTTTTGCTGTCTGTGGTATGATGTATGTAGGAGCTGAGGTCGGCATGCCACTGCTTCAGTTGAAATTGTGTCTGAGACTATAGGATCTCATCTCGATGTGTCTCCTTGTGCTGCTAACTTATCATTTTCTATTTTATTGTTAAAAATACTTAAATATTTTGTAGTAATTTTGTATTCTATCTTGAAATTTGAGTACGTAGTAAACTTAACATGGTTAGTTGTGAATTAGTGAAATTACACTGAATTTTTCCTCTGCAGTTTCCAAAATGGACAATCCAGATAATGAAATAGTATTCTATTTAATGTTGCGGGCTGTTGACAGATTTCATAAGCATCATGGTAGATACCCAGGTAAGAATACCAAGTGAATTACCAATATAGCAAAATCTTGAGTAGACATGTAAATTGAATCTTGCATGTTCTCATAGCGTTTTCAAGGTGGTACTGGAATGTAATCAGATGGCACCTATAGTTCATACCAGTGAAGATTTTTAAGTGTAACTGTTTGCAAATAGTGTTTAGTTCTAAATTATTGCAGGAGGAATGTCGTAACATGCATGTAAAAAAAAAGCTGTTTTTTTTCTATCGGTTTGTATAATTTACTATCAAGATGCACACTGAGCGTAATTTAGTGGACTAGGAAAATCACAGAGGTTTATGCCAATGACTTCTTGACATTGCTTTATTTCGTATACATTTTTTATGGGGATTTCTTTGTTCCGTGTACATTTTTGTTATCTGTAAATGCAATAATTAGAGAATTGGCATAATTTCAAATATGTAAAGTTGTATAGAATATTTTTTATCTTTGTTGATAGTTTTAGTTGTCCAGGATTATTGCATAATAGCTTATCCTATACATATCCTAAAACTTGTTGCCTGTCTATTGCCAGGTGACCTAAGAGCAATGTGTATACACACCAGAAGAAATAAAATAAATAAATATCATGTGTATATTGATTTTTTAAAAAATGTGATTCGATAAGATTTGAGTTACCTAGTATACATCAGACCACTCCAAAACTTGGTGGTGTGAAATAATTAGTGTATTATCTAATAATTTTATGGATTGATGGGGCTCTGGCAACTTTCTCTGGGGTGGGGTCAGTTCCTGGAGTTGCATAGTGCCCAGTGCTGGAGTCGTCTGAATGAATGAATTAGATGTGCAGGAAGACATTTTCACTCAGGTCTCTGTCACCTGGGGTAATGGGCACATCCCAGGGCTGCTTAGGCCTTTCTTTTTTCACATGACTAGCTTGGGCTTGACAATGCTAGGGTAAGTTTCTTCCTTTTTTTTTTTTTTTTTCTTTCACTTTTTTTTTTTTTTTAAGATTTGTTTCTTTTTATTGAAAGGCATTTATAGAAAGAAGGAAAGAGAGAGGGCCCGGCACAATATCCTGGTGGCCCTGCTTCCCACCTAGCTCCCTGCTTGTGGCCTGGGAAAGCAGTCGAGGATGGCCTAGGGCCTTGGGACCCCACACCCACGTGGCAGACCGGAAGAGGCTCTGGGTTCCTGGCTTCATATCAGCTCAGCTCCGGAAGTGAATTAATGGATGGAGGATCTTCCTCTCAGTTTCTCCTCCTCTGTGTATATATGACTTTCCAATAAAAATAAAATAAATCTTAAAAAAAAAAAAAAGGAAAGAGAGAAACATCTTCCATCCATTGGTTCACTCTCCAAATGGCTGCAATGGCTGGAGCTGAGCTGATCCAAAGCTAATAACTTCTTACAGGTCTCCCATATGGGCCACCCTGCATTGCTTTCCCAGGCCACAAGCTCTGAGAGCTGGATGGGAAATGGAGCAGCCAGGACATAAACCAGCATCTGTATGGGATATGGCACTTGGAGGTGGAGGATTAGCCAGTTGAACCATCATGCCAGCCCCTAGGGTTGGCTTCTTACATGATGACTTGCTTTCTAAAGTTAGAGCTCTAAAAGCAACGAATGGAAGGGACAAAACTGTCTGGATTTGCCTTGTAAGTCTCCAAGCATTACTTAGATTGTGCTCTGTTGGCTTCATGGAGACCAAGGAAGGCTTTTGGCTTCTTGCTTCAGATTGGCTCAGCTCCGGCCTCTGTGGCCATTTGGGGAGTGAGCCAGGAGTTGGAAGATCTTTCTCTCTGTGTCTCCTTCTCTCTGTAAATTTGCTTTCCAATAAAAATAAATAAATCTTTAAAAGATATACATATATGGACAGTATCTAGCATCCATGAATGTCTTATAAATATTACCTGTTATTGTAGCTTTATTTCCTCAAAGTCATTAAATTTCTTATAAATAAATAAAAAGCATCATAATTTGCATGAAGGGTATAAATAGAGCAAGTTTTTTTAATTTACTCAATTATTTTATCAAGTAATTATCATGTGCCACATGCTTTTTGGATGTAGAACAGGGAACCTTAATTGAACTCAAAATTTTAAAAGGTTTAATGGGTCTTTTATTATAGATACATGATAGTTGCAAATACTGATCTCATACTTTCCGTTATTTTTGTTTTATCTTAACTTCCATGCTTTACTTTTTTGAATAGAGCAGCTGAACCTGAATTAAATAGAGATTGTAGGCATTAATTTTGAGTCATACTTACTTTAATGAAAATGAATTTATATATATGTATATATATATTTATATATTTTTAGGAGTGTCTAATTATCAAGTTGAAGAAGACATAGGAAAGTTGAAGTCTTGTCTCATTGCCTTCCTTCAGGAATATGGGTTATCTGTGATGGTGAAAGATGATTATATCCATGAATTGTGAGTATCTGTCAGGGCGTTTAAGACTAGTTCCCAGCTATCCTCAGGCTCTACTAAGGTCACCTGTCTTTCTTTCCTGTAGTTGTCATTATGGAGCTACTGAGCCACACACCATCGCTGCCTTCCTGGGGGGTGAGTTCCAAGCTGAGACGACTGTCGTCTGTTGTTACCTAGTAGTTACTAGTTTAATATGAAGTCCTCTTGTCTTAGCTGTTTTCACTGGAGTATCCTGCTGCAGTGATTTCCTTCAGACTGTTCTCCATCCTTCCATCTGTCCCTCTGACATCCATTTGGAATTCCAGAATAAGCACAGATTCTTTGAAGGTGTTAATTCTGATCCTGTCCCTCACTTAATCAGTGCTCTGTCGCACAATGCACATTCTTAGGGTCCTCAGAAAATAAGGCCAGGAACTTAGCTGGACATTAAAGATCCTGTGTTTTGGTTCTGCTTAACTTTTTGATTACTTCTACCAAGTTCATTTTTTTCCTGTCAGAAATACCCTTTGATTTTCTGCTTTTGGATCATTGTTTCTCTGGGTCCATTCACCTTAAACATCTATTTTCTGCATGTCTATCTAGAACCTACCTGTTCTTCAAGGCACAACTCGAAAATGCCATCTCATTCATAAAAATTCCCTTTCTCCTTCCTTCACTTCATTTATTTCTCTCCCTTAGTTTGTACTGCTGTGTCATAATTCTATAGGCTAGGGGGAAAAAATAATTCTATAGGCTAGGTGACTTACGAACACCAGAAATTTGTTTCTGACAGTTCTGAAGGCTGAAAATTGAAAGTTAGGGTGTGGTGAGCACCTAAATCCTGGGTTTAGGCCCTTCTCACTGTGACTTCTCACATGGTAAAAATGTCAAGAGAAAACATAATAGTTTTCAGGGAAACACAATTCAGTTCATAACATCTTTTGAGAAGACGTTATGGCAGTGTCAGACTGCTATTTAGGATGCCAGTATCCCATGTCTAAGGACCTAGGGTGAAGTCTTTCCTCTGCTTTGGACTTAGATTCCTGCTCATGCTCTCCCTGGGAGGCAGCAGGTGATGGGTCAAGAACTTAAGTCCATGCATCCACGTGGGAGAGCCAGATGGAGCTTATGGCAGTGCAGCCCTACCCAGCTGTTGTGGGTATTTGGAGGGTCAACCCTTGGATACAAGATCTGTCTCTCTGCCTTTCAAATAAACAAAAAGTAAAGAAAAATTTTCCTCTTCTGCTTGTGCTCTTCTGTAGACTGAGCTGTTTGCTTATGCCATTTTCCATCTAGATGATTAACACTTGGAAATAGATACAGGTCTAGTTAATATTCAGTGTTTAAAGTGTAATAATACAGACCTAAATTAAGGCTGGATCTGGATACTTTATTTGAAACTAAAACACAACATCTTGTACCAAAATAACAATCAGCTGATTCATAGAAAAAAGCTATTAATTGCTTATTCAGATTTTAAAAAGAGGTTGCATGACTAGAACTTGCCTGTAGTAGAAAAAAACATAAATGGATGTTTCTTTATCTCTTTGTATTCTGTAGCATCTTGTACATGCTATTTTATTCCTTCTCTTCTTCCAGATTTTGTTTAAATATGATCTCTTTGAGGCTGTCCTTGACCCCTCCCTTGCTTTTTCTTCTTATCCGTAAAGGCCATGTGATATTTATACATTCTATTTCTTTGTAAATTATCTGTCTTACTGTTAGACATAGGATCCATGAGGGCAAATGAATCTTTTTTGGCTTTTTCTCCCTACTGTATCTTTCCTGCCTAAAACATTATGTAATAGAGTCTTAAATTTTACGAAGTCTATAAATAGTTGTGAAAGAAAAAGGTTCTGATTATAAGAAAAAAATAAAAATTAAAAAAAAATTTATTTGATTTTATTTTATTGCTAAGTCAGATAGACAGAAAGGTAGATTTTCCACACAATGATTCATTCCCCAACTGGCTACAGTGGCCGGAGCTGAGCTAATCTGAAGCCAGGAGCCAGGAGCTTCCTCTGAATCTCCTACATGGGTGCAGGGTCCCAAGGCTTTGGGCCGTCCTCAACTGCCCTCCCAGGCCACAAGCAGGGAGCTGGTTGGGAAGCTGGTTGGGAAGCAGAGCATCTGAGATTAGAACTAGTGTCCATATGTGATCCTGGTGCTTGCAAGGCAATGACTTCAGCCACTAGACTACCATGCTGCTGGGGGTCCTATTTTTTTTTTAAGAGTTTTTATTTTATTTGAAAAGGCAGAGATAGAGTTAGCAAAATGATCTTCCATATGCTGGTTCACTTCCCAAATGACCATAGTGGCCAGGGCTAGGCCAGAGCAAAGCCAGGAGTTAAGAACTTCATCCAAGTCTCCCACATGGAGTGACAGGGGCTCAAGCACTTGGAACATTTGCTGCTGGTTTCCCAAGCATTTTAGCAGGAAGCTGGGTTAGAAGTAGAACAGGTGGAACTTGAACTCACAAGTCATATGGGTTGCTGGTGTTATGGGCAGTGGCTTAATCTACTGTGCTATGATGCCAGTCCTCTTGTTTTGAGTAATTACTGAAACCTAATAGTTTTTTCTGTAGCTTTTTTATAAATTAAAAAATTCATTTAGAACATATGTACATTTGTCTTTTTTTTTTTTTGTCTAAAACAGGCACAAGGTAAAAATTAAAATGCTGGGACTGAAGAGTATCCTTGAGAATCCTTTTGCCTCTTTATCCATTTAAAAAGTTCTTTCAGCCATGCTGCAGTTACAATTTTTGTTTGCTTCCTGTATCTTGCTGATCCATTTCATTGTTTTAAATAATAATATGCATTGTATGAAATATCTAAAATAAGAGCCCGGCATAATAACCTAGCAGCTAAAGTCTTGACTTTGGTTCATGTCCTGGAGGCACCACTTCCCATCCAGCTCCCTGCTTGTGCCTGGGAAAGCAGTCAAAGACAGCCCAAATGTCTTTGGGACCCTGCACCCATATGGGAGACGTGGAAGAAGCTTCTGGCTCCTGGCTTCAGTTGGGCTCAGCTCCAGCCATAGTGGCCACTTGGGGAGTGAATCAACAGAGGAAAGATCTTCCTCTCTGTCTCTCCTTCTCTCTGTATATCTTACTTTCCAAATAAAATAAAATAAAATAAGAAAAGGAATATCTAAAATAAGACTATTATAAAAATTATACTTTAAAATTTTTATGTGACTCACTAAGCTATGCCTGTTTTGGATTACTTTTAAATAACTGCCTTGGCAAAGGTTTCGTGCAGAGTTGAATATGTTTATATTACTCTTGAAAATCTTTTCAAGGTTTGCTTTTCTCTTCTTTCTTTGTAGGAGCTGCTGCTCAAGAGATTATCAAAGTAATCACCAAACAATTTGTAATTTTTAATAATACTTACATTTATAGTGGTTTGACACAAACCTCAGCAACTTTCCAGTTGTAGAATAAGCACCTTATGTTATATGTTAATGATTGAAACTGTAGTTGTCTTCAGATTGCCTTGTAGTCTGTAAAACTAAGCTGAAGGAAAGCCGTGAGATGGTTTCCTTAATAAACGTTTTTCTCATTTGTAATAATGTGTCTTGTTCTCTGTTGGGAGAGGGATGGAAGCAGTCATTTTCCCAGAGACTGGCAGCTGTCCCTTCCAATGAAATTCATTAACAGATGGATTGCTATGTCAGGCTGCTTATCATGGATATCTTTTGGGTTTCACCAGAAATAACTTAAATATATATTTTTCTTACCATGGTAAATAATCAGATTAAGCCACATTCAGATTACAGCTATGGATATGTTAGGAACATTTGTTAAAACAACTAGAATTTTAAAGACTATTTCAGAATGTATAGTTTTATCAGAAAATAAGACTTTGTTTATGTATGTGGTGTTATCTAAACTTAGGTTTTACTGAGTATACATTCTTAAATTTTTATGTAGTCATTCTATCCACTGTGCATAAAATCTTAGATTTCACTTGATTAGGGACAGACGTTTGGCACAGCAGTTAAGACACTGCTTGGAACACCAGCATCTTTTGTTATCAGGGTGACTTGGTTTAAATTCTGTCTTAGGACCTGATTCCAGCTTCCAGCAGATGCACAACCTGGGAGACAACAGGTGATGGCTCAAAGACCAGAGTCTGCTGCCCACATGAGAGACCTGGATGGAGTTTGGACTTCTGACTTCTGCCCAGGCCAGCCATGACTGTCTAAGGGCATTTGGGGATAAACCAGTAGATGTGATATTGGGAATGAGGCAGGGAATCAGGAATGCATAAAGTTGGAGAACTTTAAAAAAATGTCTGTGTAGCATTCCATCGCACTGCAACTCCACCCCTTTACCTGTCGAGGCAGTACACCCACTTTCCCATGATGCACCTGTGTCTAATATCAGACCAGGAAGAAGATACAATGATCAAATGGGAGTTAAGCTTCACATGGAGGTACCATGTAACTCCCAGAAAGCCTCATGCACACAAAAACCCCACTCATACTTCGTGTTTGTGTATTCAGTCAGGGCAACAACCTTTACTGTGAGAAGGAGGCATCATGTGACATCAGCTTGGTTTCTGGACCATGCTTGAATGCTGTCTGCAATTCTGGCCCACTCATGACAGCTAGCTCCCCAGGTGGGGTTGCCCACATTCATGTGAATGTATATTCACTCTCTTAACTAAATACCACTCTCACTTGTGCACCTTATTTATGTCTTTGAAAATTTCTCCGTCGGGGCAAGAACTGGGGAATATAAATGAAGATACTAATGCCCATGACAGATGGAAGATTTCTGTCTCTGCCTATTCACTTTTCAAATAACTTAAAAAATAAAAGTCAAATTGAACTTGTAAAATTTACAAGTCAGTGGATAAAGAAACAATAAAAATCTCACTAAGAATTCATGGAAGTAAGCAAACTGGCAATTCAGTAGAGGGAGACAGTGGCCAGTTTGATTTCATTTCTTTATGACTGAAGAATGTGTTAAAGGACTCTAAGTAATTAAGGCCCCTAAATTGACTGCTGGTAGATAAATGAAATCTCAGATTAACCAAGACGGCATCTACCATACAGGAATTTGGTTGGTCTGGCCCCTAATGGGTCAAGGTTTCCTGGTGTTTATTGTGGAGGAGACAGACGATGCTGGGATCATAACCATTGAGGTCAGGCTGGGAATATGTGGCAGGGATATCAGTTGATGGAATACCCTGGACAAAGGAAGAAAGCACCAGGGAGGTCGTGAGGGAGGACTACCCATCACGAATGTACCCATGCGTGGCCCTTGGCCCGGAGCCCAGTAATGTCCACCTCAGAGCCTTGGAACGAATGTCTTCCTGAGGAATTAAAACCAGAAAACCAGAAGCAATGAGGTGACATGATTTTCCCTTAAATCTGTGATTTTCCTTCACCTGCAAACCCCTCATCGTCACAGTCACATTTGCTACATCTGCTCTCTGGAAGTCTCACGATGGGGGCGGGACTGTCTTCCCGGAAGTCCCGCCCCCACGAAGGTCAGCCTCGCCTGCTGCGCGGGAAACCGGTTGGGCGTCGTCGTCGTCGTCGAGGTAGCTGGCCGCTTGAGGGTAAAGGTCCACCTTCGTCTCCACCCCAGCCCCTCAAACCTGCCCATTGCTGTGTGAAGGGCATATTGCGCTCTCCCTGACCAAGTCCACCCTCAAAGCAGCAGAGGGAGGCGTTTCTCATCCCTGGCCAAGCTGAGGGAGCAGAGCCTTCCAGAACAGTCCCCACAGCTACAGACGGGAAAAGATAATTGCCGCGTGCCTTTTAGTCAGATGGCGCTTCGTAGTCCCCGGAAAGCAGCTCTCCACCGCGACTCTAATGCGGGGATGGGCGGGAGCCCCTCTGCCCCGGGTGGAAACTGCCTGGTTCCCCTTTGTTCGTCACGCCAAACAGGCGGCAGCTGGCGTGGGCACGACTGCTCGTGGCATCGCGACTGGGCCGCGCTTCTGACTGCGCTCTGGACACCCGCTCCCCGCGCTCTCCCTCTTTCCCCGCAGGGCCCCGAGCTGAGGAACCACCTCTTCAGACTGCTGCTCTCTCAGCATCTGGGGTGAGCCCGGCCGGCCCCTTGCGGTTACCTCACACAGGTCTGATGGGATCTGGTGGAGAGGGCGACTAAACTGAGCCAGCTGAGGCCTGTGTCCCTGAGTGGATAAGACGGCCACCGCGCCGAGCCAGGCAATCAGTCGGTGCTTGGATGCAACGCTGTGCTCTCTGACCAGGCGGTGTCCACCACTGGGCGCTGTGGATCACCTCCCCAAGTGGAGTAAATCCTTAGGTCACCCCCATTGGACTTTAGCTGCCCTACATTATGGGCAAGGCCTCTTAGATCCCCGGGCTCCACCGCAGGATGTGTGCTCTGGGCAAAATGTTGCTGTTCCTTTAAAGGACCTTTTCATCCTGGCCACTGTCCAACTTGCATGGCCACTGTCAATCCCTTAAATGGTGGCGGTTTGTTTGATGCCAGCCTTCCCCAGAAAGATGTCATTTATTTTTCTTGTATTTTGGGGATAATCTTTATGTTAAAAAAAAAAAAGCTTGTGATAATAACACTTTCTAGTACATACAAACATTAAGTTGGTTTTCTTAGAGAAATTTGAAATTCTTTTTCTTTTAAAATTTTAAAGAAATGTATTGTTTGATTGATTCCATCTGTTGATTCACTCCCCTGAATGCGTGAAGCCGAGATCTGGGGACTTGATGCAATTACTTGGGCTGCCACTGCTTCCCCTAGGAGCTGGGTTACTGACTTGAGTATTTTCACGTGGGACCTAAATGCCCTAACTGCAGCTATATGCCTGCCCTTGCCTTTTATCTGCCCAGTACTGTTTGGGGAAGTATACTGAGCAAAATCTCTAAGTAAAATTGGCCCTTTCTGTTATATGAAGAAGTTCATTTCTTTCCTGAAAGAATACAGTAGAAACTTAAATCTCATCAGTTGTAACAAGTTGTACCTATTCACAGCTCTGACTATAGCAGCCATTTGAGGGAGTGAACCAGTGAATGGAAGCTTCTCTCTCTGTCCCTCTTTCTTTCTATAATTCTGACTTTCAAGTAAAACAAACAAAACATTTTAAAGATGTATTTATTTGGAGGCCAAAGTTACAGAGTGGAAGGGAGAGGCAGGATCTTCCCTTTGCTGGTTTCCTCCCCAGATGGCCGTAACAACCTCCAGGGCTAGGCCAGTTTGAAGCCAGGATTCAGGAGCTTCACATAAATAACAGGGGTTCAAGTACCTGGGACATTTTCACAGATGATTAGCAGGCAGCTGGATCAGGAGTGGATTGGCAGCCAGGGCTTGAACCAGCTTCCACGTGGGATGCTGGCATCACAAGCTGTGGCTGTACCTGCTGTGCTCCAGTGTCAGTTCTGTCACCGTTCTTGCAACCTAAAATGTTTGTACCTAAATGTCAGTGTTCTATGCAACTAAAAATTCCGTGTTTAATGGAATAATTAGATTAGAAATGTCAAAACAAGTATACATTCATTAAATAATCTTATATTTGTTGTTTATTTTTTTTCTCTTAGGAAAATTTTCAAGAATGAGAATGAAAAATACACAGAATAATTGCCTATCTGTTTAACGACACACTGTGGGGGCAAATGGGAACTTTTTTAAGTTCTATGAATCCTGATTTGTTGAAGAAATTAATTGAATTCTGATACATTTTTCTGAATAATAAGTTTAGTATTTTAAAGCAGGGCTTGTAAGAGACCATATTAGAGTTGCTAGTTATTTTAAAAGTTCTAACAATATCTAAACAAAAGTTCAAGCTAAATGCTGAATATCATGGCAAAATAATCATGAATTGTTAGAGAAAAAATGGTACCAAACTTAGCTTGGAGAGACAAAGAGAAAGTCAATCAACCACTTGTTTACTATGTCAAGTAAATGTATTTTAAAATGCGAAATGTTTACTTTAAAAAATAACTTTATGAAGTAGAAATAGTCCTATTTTATAGAATATTAAATTGTCACCTAAACAATAATGAATGGCAGATTCAGTCCATTGTATTCTGGCTTCAGGAAAACCATTTTTTCTTGAATCCTTTCCCCAATCTTTTGTATTTATTTCTCTGGCATTCTGGAACATGGAATTTGAGAACCTACCTTTTTCTTTTAGGTGAAATATAGAGAAAAAGAATACAAGCAAATATGGAAAGTGAGGACACAAAGAAAACACAAGGTGAGCGATTCATGGATCATGTATCTACAAGTAGTTTTAGATTGTATTTATAGGTCCAGTTCCATGTTTGTGGCCTGGGAAAGTGCTCACTGTACCCAAGTGGGAGACCCAGGGGAGGTTCCTGGCTTTAGTTCAGCTTCTGTCATGGCAGCCATCTCACCTCCTATCTGTAAATTTGACTTTCCAATAAAAGTAAATAGGGCCCAGCAGCGTGGCCTAGCGGCTAACGTCCTCACCTTGAACACACTGGGATCCCATATGGGCGCTGGTTCTAATCCCAGCAGCTCCAATAAAAGTAAATAAATTTTTTAAAAGATTTATTTATTTTTATTGGAAAGGCAGATATACAGAGAGGAGGAGAGACAGAGAGGAAGATCTTCTGTCCAATGATTCACTCCCCAAGTGACCGCAACAGCTGGTGCTGAGCCAATCCAAAGCCAGGAGCCAGGAACTTCCTCCAGGTCTCTCATGTGGGTGCAGGGTCCCAAGGCTTTGGGCCATCCTTGACTGTCTTCCCAGGCCACAAGCAGGGAGCTGGATGAGAAATGGAGCTGCTGGGATTAGAACCAGTGTCCATATGGGATCCCAGCATGTTCAAGGCAAGGCGAGGACTTTAACCACTGTACTATTGTGACAGGCCCAAGAATAAATAAATCTTAAGGTCATAGTCATTGATCAGGTTACATAAATATTGAGCATCTGCTCTTTGTCTCCTAACTTGTGTTGTCTGCAAATAGACACCCTCCTGTGAATGGACAAGCTGATCATTAGAAAACTATCTGAGTAACTTAGTAGTGATCAATACAAGAACAATGGCAGTATATACCTCTCAGTATATGCCTGGAGGTAGATTTCAGAATTGTTCTGAGAAAGATGGTAATTGAATCCATGGGCATGAAGGAAGTTGATCAGAGGAAATTATTTAAAAAAAAAATATGGGGAATTAGTATCCCTCAATACATATAATCACATAAAAGTTTAGTGGGCCTGGCACGGCAATCTAGTGGCTAAAGTCCTTGCCTTGTCAGCACCAGGATCCCATAAAGATGCCGGTTCTAATCCCAACCACTCCATTTCCTATCCAGCTCCCTGCTAGTGGCCTGGGAAAACAGTGAAGGAAAAGCCCAAAGCCTTGTGACCCTGCACTCACGTGGGAGACCAAGAAGAAGCTCTTGGCTCCTGACTTCGGATTGGCTCAGCTCTGCTCCAGCCATTGTGGCCTCTTGGGGAGTAAATCATTAGATGGAAGATCTTCCTCTCTGTCTCTCCTCCTCTCTGTGTATATGCCTTTCCAATGAAAAATAAATTTAAAAAAAGTTTAGCTGATGAAGAGAGTTTTCCAAAAAAGGACAAAGAATTGGCATTGTGGTGCTGAGCGAGAGCTGTCATCTATTGGTTCACTCCCTAAATGGCTGCAACAGCTAGAATTGGGCCAATATGAAGCCAGAAGCTAGGAGCTTCTTCTAGGTCCCACATGTGTTCAGGGACCCAAGCACTTGGGCCATCTTCCACTGCTTTTCAAAGCATATTAGAAGGGAGCAGGATTGTAAGCCAGTATTATAAACAGTGCCCACATGGGATTCCAGCATCACAGGCTGTGGCCTTATGTGCTAAACCGAAGAATTCTAAGTTTTATATTGTATAAAGAGCATCTTTTTATATACCTTTATAATTTATTAGATTATAAAGTAATGCATGTGCATATTTACAAAGTTGAACATTCTAAAGATATATAATACTAAAGTAAAACTGGTTAATTTTTAAAAGAAAACTTTTACTTAAAATTTTTGATTTTTAGAAATGAAGACCGACGTGAACTTATTATTAGAGTGTATAAAACATCAAATGGACAATCCTGTTTCACAAAAGGAAGCTTTGGTCACTATTCATTCAATTTGTCAACAAAACAGTAAGATACAATAGAGAATTTTTATCTGATTCTGGTTCTTTAGCACTGTGTTATGTAAATGTGCATACTTTTAAAGCTTCTACTCAGTATACATGTTGTGTTGCTTTATTCATGCATTTTGTTATATCCTTTAAAAAAATAATGAAAATAAACAGTTTCTATTTTTTTTTTTGTTTGCACCCCTACAGGTAACGCAGGTGTTTATTTTAGGGAAATTGGTGGTTTGGTGTTTTTAAAAAACCTTGCAAAATCAAGTGAACATAGGGTGGTAAAAGAAGCAGCCTTATATACATTAGGAGCTATTGCAGAAAAAAATGGTAAAATATAAAATTTAATTTCATTTTTCTTCAATAATTCTGTTTTATTTAAACTACTAAGAAATAATTTCAGAATTAAGCAATTTTGTTTTGCTTGTATGGGTTGTTTTACCAAGGTACTTTAATCAAAGGAAGAGGATGACCATGTTGTATCAGGGTTAATAGGCTATATGTGCAGAAATTCATGTTGACAAAAGTATTTTTCTGTGGTGCACTTGAAATGAGGTTATCTAAACCACTGATTTGCCAGCTCAACGTTATATTCTTAAAATTTTAACTAGATATTGCTTTATTACCTATGCAGAACCAAGCTCTGTGCTAGTCTTTGGGCATGTTGAGATAAATTATATACCCCTTGCCTTTGAGACAGGGTAGATAACAAGTTCTAGGCAGGTATAGGTGCTGATTGCATCACTGTATTCAAATTATTTTTGTAAAATTATACTTATTTCAAGAGTATTACAAAAATTAAAGTCATGTGAGTTATGTTTTTAAAAATATTTTTGTTTCTGGAAAAGTAAAAAACATATCTTCATTTTATTTTCTAATGCAGATTTATGAGTTTTCTCAAACTTTCATTTGCTGTGTTTATCTTAAAACTGTCATACTTAATTTTTTAATTTAGGTTTTTTTATTGGAAATTCTGAGATTGCAGTGTGGTTTTTGAGTTGAGATCAAGTACTTTTCATTAAGATAATTGCTTCTTTTGTCTGCTTATTGAATTAAGCACATATGAGTTTGAGATTTTGTTGTATGACTAATAAATGTCAGTTAAGTTAGATCTGATTAAGAACCATTCCAACCTTGAAAACTTAGACATATTTTAAAGCTTGTTTGTGTTAATAATATATTGAAACTAAAATTATATTTTTATATTTCAGTTTATTGTCAACAAACTTTATGTACTTCAGAATTTTTTGAAGATTTAACTTGGTTCTTATCTAATAATGACTCAAACACAAATTTGAAAAGAATGTCTGTCTATGTTATTTTGGTTCTGGTTTCAAACAACAGTAAGTATATTCTCTTATGACATTAAAATATTTAAAGAAATTTCAAGATTATGCTTTTTGGGGTCATTTTAAAAATATTTCATTTATTTGAAAGACAGATGCATCTTTTATATGCTGCTTCACTCCCAACCAAATGACCACAAAGTTGGGGTTGGGCCAGGCTGAAGCCAGGAGCCGGGAACTTCATCAAGGTCTCTAATGTGGGTCCAGAGCCCAAGCTCTTGCGCTTTCCTCTGCTACTTTCTGAGACACATTAGCAGGGAGCTAGGTTGGAAGCAGAACATTTAGGGCTAGAACCAGTTCACTTATGGGCTGACAGCAGGAAGAGACTTAACCTGTTATACTGCAGTGCTTGCCCCAGGGATCATTTTTATGTAATTCCTTCCAAGAGATTTACCAGAAAGTGCAGAGCGCCAGAAACCACTTGGAGGAGGAGCAGTGTTCTCTGCTGAAGATGAAGCCAGCTGTTGGTGTTGCTTTGCTGTAACTGGTGTTTGCCATGGGTGGTGGTTCTTTTCTTTGGGAGAGTAACAGGGAGAGAATGTTGTCTGATTGGCTTACATTAAATTAACAAACTGGAATGGTTATGATTTTCAAAATTCAAGTCTTTATATAAATGCCTGCTTTTAAAAATATTGGTTTATTCCCCAGATAAAACAGTAGTCAGAGTTGGATCAAGCCAAGGTGGGGAGGGGGGTACTCAACCCAGGCCTGCTCCTGGGTAATAGGCACTTAGTCACCTGAGCTGTTCCTGTACATTAGCAAGAAATTGGAAGAGGAGTAGAGCTGGGACTTGAACATAGATACCTGGTGTGGGATGTTAGCTTCTTAACTGCTAGGCCAACTGCCTGTCCCACATGTCTTTTAATTTGACTCCTGAGAAATGCTATCTTTAAAAAAAAAAAAGGCAATTAATAGCATTTATTTAACCATTTGATATTATTATTTTTAAGATTTATTTATTTTTAATTAAAGGGCAGATTTTACAGGGAGAGCTCTTCCATCTACTTCACTCCCCAAATGGCAGTCACCGAGCTGAGCTCATCCAAAGCGGGGGGTCAGGAGCTTCTTCAGGGTCTCCCTCATTGGTGCAGGGTCCCAAGGACTTAGGCCATCTTCCTCTGCTTCCAGACTGTAAGCAGAGATCTGGATTGCAAGTGAAGTAGCTGGGATGCAAACCAGCACCCAAATGGGGAACTGGCTCCACAGGGCAGAGAGTTAGCTTGGTACACTGCTGCACTACTCTATGCCTGCTCTGATATTTGGTCAATTTAAGAGTTATTTTTAGGGCCTGGTACAGTAGCCTAGTGACTAAAGTGCTCACCTTGCAAATGAATGAAAAGTTACAGCTTTGAAGGGAAAGAGAATCAAACGAATCACTTAGTAGATTTACTGAAAACGTGGCCAATTAGTGTTTATTATATTAGACAATGGTTTTTATTTTTTGGAATAATTTTAGACTTTCAGAGATAATGTAGAATCTGTATATCTGCTGTGCAGGCCATGTTTTTTTTGTTTTTATTCTTTTAATATTGCTGTATTTTTTTCAGATTGTTAGAACTTTTACATTCATTTAATGTGCAATTTTTTCTATTTTGGAAAAACTAGAAAGGATCAAATATTTTTTCTTATTTTGTATCCTTTTTTTTGTGTTGTAACACAGACTATGAGACTTAGTAAAGGTTTAAGAAATGTGAATGCTGTCAGACTCTGAGCATAAGTAATGCATTTTCCATAATCTTGATTATGGATTTTTCTATTATAGTAAAATTTTAATTACAGAATATAAAATTTTTTTGCAAAGTTATTTCTAAAATCATTCACATGATATTTTTTTTCTTTTTTTAAGGAACTGGACAAACACTCGTGAGAGAAACAGATTGCATTACTGTTCTGTCACAGTTGTTTAAGTAAGCAAATACAAATTCTTGTTACTTAGTCATTATTTAAAACCTTAACACATTTGTATTAATTTACTTCCTTTTCTTTTTACCCTAATAGGAAAATTCTTTCAAAATATGATTTGGATTTGTCAGATGAAAACGTTTTCCAGAGTTACCAGTTGTGGGCTTCAGTATGTAGTACTCTGTGTGTCTGTGTTAACAATCCTCAAAATGGTAATAATTTCAAACATTTAATTATAAAATTAGAGTAAAAAATATTAAAACTGATATTCAGTGTGTCATACATGATTGCCTTTGTCTTTCAGATGAAAATCAAAGGTTTTGTTGCTCACTTTTTTCACATGCTAATGATTGGCTAATGAACTGCATGAAACCTGAGATAATTCGCCCTATTTGCTCTTTCATTGGACTCACTCTTGCAAATAACAGTTAAGTATTTGCTATTGTCTAGGTCATATTTGAAGAAACATACTTTAAAAAATAACAATTTAATTCATGGTTTCATTAGTGTTACAATGATTTGGATCATAGTTGATGCATTTACATTCTTGAAGCTGAGGAAATCTCAGGCCCAGTACCATGGCTCAATGGCTAAATCCTCACCTTGCAAGTCCAGGATTCCATATGGGTGCCGGTTCAAGTACCAGCTCCCCCAAGATATTAGAGAAACTGGATAGCAGAACTAAAAATCCATGGGGTATATTTTAGATCACTATGGAATTAGAAATGAACAAAAATAAAACATCTAGAAAAAAACTTAAAATTTGGGTAAATAACTTAGTATTATTTTTAAAAGCCAAAATATAAATCATAAAGGAAATTATTTTTAGGTACTTATTTATTTGAAAAGCAGAATAACAATAAGATGTAGGCAAGAGACCTTTTATCAGCAAATCCACCCCCCAAATTACTCAAGTTACTACAGCCAGGATTGGGTCAGACCAGAGCCAGGAGCTTCATCTGGGTCCTCTCACATAGAAGTTTGGGGGCCCAAGCACTTGGGACATCCTCATTTGCCTTCCCAGGTGGATTACCAGGAAGGTGGATGGGAAGCAGAGCATCTCAGACTCAAACTGGTACTCCAACATGGGATGTGAATATCAGAAGTGGCAACTCAACTTGCTGTACTACAACACTCAACCAAAGGAAATTATTTTTAAAGGTTTATGTATTTATGTATTTATTTTTATTGGAGAAGCAGATTTGCAGAGAGAATGAGAAACAGAAAGATCTTCCCTCTGCTGGTTCACTCACAATAGCTGAGTGGATCTGAAGCCTGGAGCCAAGGGCTTTTTCTGGCGTTCTCATGTGAATGTGAGGTCCTAAGGCTCTGGGCCATCCTCCACTACTTTCCCAGGCCACAAGCATGGAACTGGATAGGATGCCTAGCAGCTGGGACATGAACCAGCACCCTTATGGGATCCTGGTGCTTGCAAGGCAAGGATTTAGCCATTGAGTCATTGCACGAGACTCTGTTTGAGAATCTTAACTCTGATAAAGAACTGTATTCAGAATATGTTAAAAACTCTTACTAAAATATCAATAGTAAAACAGACTAATAATTTTAAAAGTGGACAGAAGAAATGAACAGATAAGCCTCCAAAGAAGATATGACTGTTAAAGAAGTACTTGAAAAGTATTTTAAGTACTTGAAAAGTATTTAAAGATTCTGTTACAGAAATCCAAAGTAACACTTCAGAGAAATACATGGCCAGGAGTGTGGCTAAAAGACTGGTAGTGTTAAATATTGGTGAGAGTGTGGAGCAACTAGAACTTCCACACATTGCTGATGTTTATCTATATTCAAGTGTTAAAAGTAAATACTATTTTTTTCACATGCAAAAGAATATATATCTAGAATTCCAAAAACTAGAATCTATTTTTACAATACTGTAACATTAATTTTTTCCTCAAACCAAACTTGAATGAATAATATGTGTCTTTTATACAATGAATAAGTTGTATGAAGTGCAGTGTAATATGTTGATGTGAGATGCTCTCAAAATAAGTTATCTTAAGGATATAAATCTATGCAAAGGAAGAAACTAATTTTCTAATTCTTTTGACTCTGAGATTCTTAATATTTGGAAAAAGTCAATGTTACATTTAATGCAGATTAGTTGATGAAGTTACATACTTGTTTGAGATATTGATTGTTGTACTTTATTCCTAAAGCATATGTACAGAAATGCTTTGTAACTGTGGGTGGATTGGATGTATTGTCCCAAGTTCTTGTGCAGCTGGAATCTGATTCACATAAGACTAACTCCAGTGCTAATCTTGCTGTTGTGGTGACGAAAACACTGGATGCATGCATTGCTGACAATTGTGAGTGAAAATAGTTATAATTGCTACATTTAAATTTTGCTTAAAATCATGGAGAATGAAGAAATAGATTGAACGTAAAATGATCTGGACTTCTAGTTTGTCATAGACAGAAACTAATCTTAAAAATTATCTAGCACAACTCTTTTTTTAAAATAATTATTCATTTATTAAATTTCAAAGTCAGATTTACAGAGAGGTGGAGAGACAACATTTTCCATCTGCTAGTTCACGTTCCAAGTGGCTGCAACAGCCAGAGCTGAGCGAATCCAAAGCCAGGAGCCTGGAGCTTCCTCCAGGTCTCCCACGTGGATGCAGGGTCCCAAGGCTTTGGGCCATCCTCAACTGCTTTCCCAGGACACAAGCAGGGAGCTGGATGAGAAGTGGAGCTGCTGGGATATGAACTGCATCTTGGCACTTGCAAGGCAAAGACTTTAGCCACTAGGCTACCACACTGGACCCTAACACAACTCTTTATACTTCCTTAAACTGAAATGTAGGCCTTTAAGTTTAAAATTCAGGTGATATAATCAAAATTGAGCTCCATCATCACTTTCAAAGTTTTATTTCACTTGAAGAGCAATGTTAAATGCAGAGTTTAGATTTGAAATCAAGGCAGATTTTAGAAATGTAAGAAATGGAAAAATCCAACATATAGGTTTGTAAAAATTACATAAAGAATTAATATATGCATCATTCTGATAAGTATAAGGTGTGAATTACCCATGCACTATAACACTGAATGAGTGGCAGAACCACTTGAACCCATGTTTCTTGCATGTACTGGCACTGAGGAATGACAATCTATAAACTAGGATAAGAAATTCTATTTATAAAAATAATTGGGATAAACGTAGATGGTTTTTGAAAAAAGATTAAAGAAAACTTGCCATTTGTTGAGCTCTAGAGATTACAAAAAGGGTTGAGACAGTGTCTCTTGGGGATTTTTAGCCTTATTATTGGCATCAATATTATATTCTGAGTGTGCTTTGGAGAAGTTTAGCTTCAAATGATGAATTTCCTGAACTTTGTCACACCTCAGCATGGCTTCAGATATGTTTTATTGCATCATTAATGATAGCAGAACCTTGATCACCTAATAATAATTTTCAGTTTTAATAAATAAGAAAAGGATATACAGGGGGAGCATAAGCTTATTCTACTTTAGAAAGATAGTTTTATTTTATGTTTATAAAATTATGCAAAATAATTGAGAGATTAATGAGTCACTGCAATAAACCTTCATCTTACTTTCATATTTATACAGGTAAATTAGATGTTATATAATCTTGAGTAAACAAATAGACTGTATATTTATGTTTTAAATTTGTACTTACTGTCCTTTCCCTCACTATTTTATATTAATAGCAACTTTTGGGGCAATATTGTCCAAGTACCACATTGTTTCAAAACTTCTGGCATTACTGCTTCATGAAAGTCTGGATTCAGGAGAAAAATTCAGTATCATGCTTGCTCTTGGTCATTGCACAGAGGATTGTGGTAAATAAGCATTGTATTTATTTGGTTTGCTTATTAAGATAGTGGAATAGAAATGTGTGGTTGTTCCCTTTCCTTCCTCCCCATTCAGCTCCCAAACCCATCGTCTTAGCTCCTTGTCCTTCACAGATTGTTTGCGGCTCTGCTTCTGCTTTCTCTTCCTTGTTTCTTTCTCCCTGTTCCAGTATGAATTCTCTCAGTTTTGGCCCCCTTCGCCTCAGTATTGTTCTTCTGTCTCCATTGTCTAGTTTACTGTTTAAGTTCCTGTACCAATCTTACTCCCCCTTGCTGAGAACTCTGAAAGGCTCTTCCTCTCCCTGCCTGGCGTCCCTTTATTTTCTTCTCCCTATTCTGTGTTCCTCCTCTTTACTCTCTTCCCACTCTCCCAGCTGCTTTCCTCCCCCTTTCTCCACTTTCCTCCACCACCTCTGTCCCTCCCACTTCTCTCTTTTCCATTTGCTTACTTGCTCCTTTCAGTCACTTCTCCTTCCCTCATTTTTTCTATTGTTGCTGTAAGTCTGTGCAAGTTAGGATGAACTTTTTTTTTTAAACCAAGTAAGGGGATTTTGTTTGCTCTTATGATACTACTATTTGGCAGCATTTCAGAGATCATCATTTATGAAACTCAAGCATTTTCTATAAATGATTTCCTAAATTGAAAATATTTTTTAAATTATGTTTTTATTTACTTAAAAATTTTGACCTACGACCTAATTTATATAATTTATGATAAAGATTTTCAACTTCAATTTTTGATGTTTTCCAGAGGAGAATCAGTATGACCTTTTAAAAAACAATGGGCTTCCATTCATACTACAAGCCTTGAATGAATCTCAAAATGAGGAACTAAAAAGAGCTGCTGCTTTTGTGCTTTACAATTGCAAAAAAATAAGTAAGTTTAATATTACTTTAAGAAAATACCAACTCAAGTTAATAGAGGAAAATTTATGTTAGTCTGAAAGAGCCAAATTCTTTCTCCATTTGAAAGGCAGAAATATGAGTGCCTCCAAAAAGTTCATAAAAAATGTATATTATGGGCCCGGCGCGGTGGCGCAAGTGGTTAAGGTCCTCGCCTTGCATGCCCAGGATCCCATATGGGCGCCGGTTCTATCCCGGCAGCCCCGCTTCCCTTCCAGCTCCCTGCCTGTGGCCTGGGAAAGCAGTTGAGGACAGCCCAAAGCTTTGGGACCCTGCATCCGCGTGGGAGACCCGGAAGGGGCTCCTGGCTTCGGATTGGCAAAGCATCGGCCCGTTGCACTCACTTGGGGAGTGAATCATTGGACGGAAGATCTTCCTCTCTGTCTCTCTTCTCTGTATATCTGCCTTTCCAATGAAAAAATAATAAAATAAAATTTAAAAAAATACTTTAAAAAAATGTATATTATGAAAAAAAAATGGCAAGAATCGAAGTATCTGTGTAATTTGAACATGACAGCATATAAAAACATGTGGAAGAGAGCATATAAAAAACAGCAATAGAGATAAGTCATATGTTTTCTGGTATGTGTGAAATTTAGTTTATATTTAAGGTAATTATTTAATCATAAAGCATATTATTAAATATTTCATTTAATTCATTTTTAAATCCATTATTTACTTTTATTGGAAAGGCAGATTTTACATAGAGAAGGAGATACAGAAGGAAAGTTCTTCCATCCATTGGTTCACTACCCAAATAGCCAAATGGCTAGAACTGAGCTGATTTGAAGCCAAGACCAAGGAGCTTCTTCTGGGTCTCCCACGCAGATGCAGGGCCCCAAGGCTTTGGGCTGTGCTCCACTGCTTTCCCAGGCCACAAGCAAGGAGCTGGATGGGAAGTGGAGCAGCCATTACATGAATCAGCGCCCATATGGAATCCTGGCACATGCAAGGCGAGGATTTAGCCACTGGACCCACCCACCAGACCCTCATTGGAAAGGCAGATTTTATAGAGAGAAGGAGAAACAGAGGTTTTCTATCAACTAGTTCACTACCTAAATGGCTGAAATGGCCAGAGCTGAGCCAATCATGAACTAGGAGTCCAGGAGCTTCTTTCTGGGTCTCCTATGTGGGTGCAGAGGCCAAAGATTTGAGCCATCCTTTACTGCCTTCCTAGCTCATAAGCAGGAAGCTGGATTGGAAGTGGAACAGCCTGGACTCAAACAGGTACCCTTATGGGATGCTGCCAATGAAAATGGGGGATTATCCTATTGTGCTACCATTCCAGCTCCCATTCATTTATTTATTTAAAAAAGACTTGTGTATCTTCTTTGTTCCAGGCAGTGTCCTAGGCACTGGGGATGTGATAAGAAACAGTCTGTGTATTTTTAAAGTCTAGTTTAACTAGAGATAGTAATGGAATGTTCTTTAAAATGAGATCATGTGGTACCAGTTCCATGGCTCAAAAGTCTAATCCTCCATGTGCTAGCATTGACATCCCATTTGGGTGTTGTTTCTTGTCTTGACTGCTCCACTCCTTATCCCAGCTCTCTATCTGTAGGTTGGAAAAGCAATAGAGGATGGCCCAGGTCCTTGGGCCCCTGTACCTGCGTTGGAGACCTGGATAAAGCTTCTGGCTCCTGGCTTCATATCAGCACAGCTCTGGCTATTGTGGCCATTTGGGGAGTGAACCAGCATATGAGAGATCTCTCTCTAGCTCTGTTTCTCCTGTCTTTTCAAATCTGCCTTTCAAAAAAAAAAAAGAGAGAGAGATGTGTTACTGTAATTTAACATAGATTGTGAAAAGATAGAACACAGATTTTTGAGAACCTGACCTTGACCTGGAGTAGAAAAAGCTTTGGAGAAAGTAATTCTTTTTAAACATTTTACTTATGAGTGTTAGAGTCTGAGACCTCTGCCAAACGCTTCCCATGTATTTTCAGTACTAGTTAAGCAGGTAAGGTAGTCTAGATGGACAAAATTTAGAGAAGGGTTATAGTGGAGTATAAAGTTGTTTTATTTAAAGTGCTAAAATAGCATTTCTGGTGATAAATAAATTCACATTTCCTCCCCCCCCATCTTTTTTACAAAGCTGAGAAATTATCTTTAAGTTTAGCAGAATATTTTGATGAAAGTGATACAGAACAATTAAAGAACACAGAAATGAAAGCAAAGAATCTTGAACCATACTGGAAGAGAGCAAAGGAAATTCTACAAAAACTGGAACACCTTGAAAGAAAAGACAATGAGGTTGGCTTCTTTGTTTCAAAAAGTATAGAAAGTTTTCTGTTATTTTTTAAAATATGTATTTCTTTGTTTTGAGAATGAATGAATGAATGAATATCCTGCATCTGCTGGCTCACTCCTTAGATGACTGCAACTGCTGAGACTGCGCAGGGCTGCTGTCCGGAACCAACAGCTGCATGCAGTTCCCTTACGTTGTTGCACAGGCCCAGGCACTGGGGTCATGTAATGCTGCTGCTTCTCAAACCATTAGCATAGAGCAGCATTGGAAGTGGAGCAGCCAGGACTCCAGTTGGCATTCTTCATACAGAATGCTGGCATCGCAAATGATAACTTCATTTGCTCGGCCACAAGACTAGGCCCAATCTTTGCTTTTAGCTCCACATTTAGCCCACTTTCTAGAGTTTCTTTCTTTCTTTTTTCTGTTTATTTATTTTTGTAAATTTAAAAAATTTTGAAAAGCAGAGCAACAGACACACACATACAAAGGCAGAGATAGGAGTCTTCTGTCTGCTGGTTCACTCCCCAAATGGCTGCAGTGGCTGGAGCTGGGCCAGGCAGAAGCCAGGAGCCCATTTTCCCATCCACGTGTCCCATGTGCACAATAAGTTCCCAAGTATTGAGGCAGTAGTGTGTGCATTAATAGGATACCAGATCAGAAGCAGAGAAGCTGGGACTAGAACCATACACTTTAATAAGAGGTGTGGCAGTCCTAGGCAATATGTTAAACTTGTTTTTAAATTGTTTATTTGGAAAGACAGATTTACAGAGAGAAGGAGATCTGGAGAGAAAGACCTTTTGTCTGCTAGTTCACTCCTCAAGTGATCACAGTGGCCATGGAGCAGCCAATCTGAAGCCAAGAGCCAGGAGCTTCTTCTGGGTCTCCCATGCAGGTGCAGGGTCCCAAGGCTTTGGGCTGTCCTCAACTGCTTTCCTAGGCTACAAGCAGGGAGCTGGATGGGAAGTGGAGCAGTCAGGACATGAACTGGTGCCCATATGGGATCCTGGCACATTACATTCAGGTTGAGGACTTTAGCCACGAGGCTACCACACTAGGCCCCCTTAACTTTATTTTAGAGGCAGAGAGGGAGACAGAAAGTGCTTGCAATGGCCCTTGGCTGGGGCCCAATCTGGGAACCAGGAACTCAATCTAGGTTTCCCATTTGGTTGGCAGGAATACAACTACCTGAACCATCATTGGTTCCTTTGAGTCTGCAGTAGCAGGAAACTGGATTCAGGAGCTGAAGTGGGGTTTCAAACCTATGTGCAACGCAAGCATTTTAACTCAACACCTGCCTCCTCTTTGCTTTTACAGTTGCAAAGTTTTCCATTGAATGTGTATGCTAGCTTTTCTGATAAATGCTAATGTTATTATCAACTTTTGGTGTTATAAATATTGTTGCAATTAACATTAACATTGTGCACATGTAAAAGTAATTGATAGTTTTTATACAGATATACACAGCTTTTATTATGAAAGATACCGAAAACTTTAATCAAAAGGCCAAGAAATGATCAAAAAAACTTTCATAGAGACTAGTTTATACTCCTGCCAGTCATGTTTGGTGGTATGCTTGTTTCTGATCCTTTCCAATGTGATGAGAAAAGCATCTCAATGTAGCTGTAATATTTCTCTTGTTACAAGAGGGATGGAACCTTTCTTCATGTGTTAAGGAGCTATTTGTTTTTTCTATCAAGTGTCTGTTTAATTTGTCCACTTTCTACACTGTTATTTGCCTTTGATATTTCATTGTAGTCATATTTTATAAATGCTACTTTAAGAGTTATATTTTTCCTAGATATGATTTTTCTATATGTGTATATATAGACATAAATCACTTTCAGATCTTTCGATTGTCACTTAGTTTTGCTTCTAGTCCCCACCCTTTTTTTTTAATTCCCATCACCTCAACATTCTTGGTCTTTATCAAAATGTTTAAAAATATTTTGTATGCTTAAGAATATTAATTCTCTTATGATTTGTTATTTTTGCATAACAATTGGAAAGGTCTTCCATTTCTTCAGAATATTAAAATATGATTTCTTTTAGAATGTATTTCCATGTTTTTATATTTAGGTTTTTGGTCCATTTTGACTTTACTGTTATATAAATTGTGAGATTTCCATTTATTTTTTTTCCTCTGATGGCTACTAAATTGTCCTAACATCATTTGTTGGATAAACTCCTTCATTTTCTGATGTGAACTATTTCTTTTATAATATAATCTTCTGACAATCATAAACTTCTCCTGCATGATTTAAAGGAAGTATAAAGCAATTTCTAAAACAAGTTGATTATATTTAAATTGCTTATTTATTGTTATTTTTACATCACAGGGTAAAGAAAGAGAAACATGTAAGAGTATCATGAATACAAATATTGAGAATACATTGAAACAACTTCACGTGGATAGTATTGGTGAAAGAAACAAAGCAGAGGATAAGAATAAAAGGCAGTCCAGACAACGTCAGAGTCATGTGCCCCGTGGAATCATGTCCAAAGCACATGAAAATGATGATCAAATGAAGATAGCATCAAAAAATGCAAATCCGGTTAATGCTTGTTATAGGGAGAGTGGACAAAATCAAACTTTACGTAAAACCAGTTTGAGCTGCAATCAAAAATTACCTGAAGGAACAACTTTTGAAAAGAAGAATCTTATTTCTCTACCAGGGTATAGTTTAATAATTTTAATAATCATTTATCAAGCATGTCTACACAGTGCTGTGTGTTATGCTGTTAGGCACAGGAGATGAATGTAGACACCTTCAAACATGCCCTTGGGAGGAGCCTAAAATAGGAAATGTTGGAAAAGGAGTTTGGATAGGGAGGTAAGGACCTGTTGCTGAAAGGCTTTGGTATCGTACTCAGGGTTATTGTTTCAAATTCACAGTGTATAAGGAGCTGTTAAGGATTTTAAATTGACTGAAATAAATTTGAATTTTAGAAAGGATGAAAACCTAAAAGGAAAGAAACCTAAACTGAAACCCTCTACCTGATATGCCAATACATGTGTTGGTGGTCCATCAGCAATTTAGCAGACTAGGTTATAAATTTAACATGATAAAAGGAAAAAGGACAATCTGATTTGGGCTTCTTCTTGTTTGTTCTGTGTTTAATCTTGAATACAATTCTGTGTTCTCTCATGTGGCCTGTGGGACTGCTGCTGCAGCTGTAGCTCCTCTTGAAATCTTTTCCGTGTTGTTTAATGCTTAGAATAATGAAGGGAGGAGGCCAGAGGCAGGTTAATCCTCTACCTGCAGCACTGGCTTCGCGTGTGAATGCCAGTTTGAGTCTTGGCTGTTCTACTTCTGACGCAGCTCAGTGCTAATGGCCTGTGAAAGCAACAGAGAATGGTCCAAGGCCTTGGGTAGGGTAGAGTACACCATCACCATGCACCTTTCCTTTTCAAGACCATTCTTGATCATTTTAACTTGATCGTTCAGGGATGTGGGTGACATAAGTCGGCTGCTTCTGAGTCAGCCTTCTTGCCTTCTGACTCAAGTCTTACATCGTGTCATTCTTTTTTCTTTTATGATCAGCCACATCTCTGCTTCATTTGAGTTGGAAATATATCAGTTGAGTTTTTCATATTTACATTTCTTTTAAATGTCTTTTTGCTTCTGTGTAGCATTTCTAAAATAGCTACACATGGGTAGATATCTATGGCTATAGTTATTGCTATGTGTGATTTCTGGTCTATAGCTTTTACTTTTTCTGTACTGTGGGTTACCAGTGTGACAGTGTAGTTAAACACATTTGTTCATCCAAGATATCTGGGGAAGCAACGGAAGATAGCCCAAGCACCTGGGTCCCCTGCCACCTACGTGGGAGTTGGGATGGAGTTTTAGGCTCCCAGCTTCAGCCCCTGGCTTGTGCAGCCATTTAGAAGTGAACCAGTAGATGGAACATATTTCTCCCTCTTTCTGTAACTCTCCCTATCAGAAAAATAAAATATATCTTAGAAATTAAAAAAGGATTATAAGGTTCTGGCTATATGTATATTTAGACCAGAAGAATTGTCAAATGTCAGTTTTTAAAAAAGATTTATTTATTTTTATTGGAAAGTCAGATATACAGAGAGAAGGAGAGACAGAGAGGAAGCTCTTCTGTCCACTGGTTCACTCTCTAAGTTACCTCAACAGCCTTAGCTGAGCCAATCCAAAGCCAGGCACCAGCGGCCTCTTCTTGGTCTCCCACATGAGTGCAGGGTCCCAAGGCCTTGGGTTGTCCTCTGCTGCTTTCCCAGGCCACAAGCAGGGAGCTGGATGGGAAGCAGGGCTGCCGGGACACAAACTGGTGCATGCAAGGTGAGGAGCTTAACCACTAGGCTACCGCTCTAGGCCCAAACCAATTCTTTTAAGATTTATTTATGGGCCTGGAACAGTGGCTCAGTGGCTAAAGTCCTCACCTTGCATGTGCCGGGATCCCATTTGGCACCAGTTTGTGTCCTAACTGCTCCGCTTCCCATCCAGCTCCCTGCTTGTGGCCTGGGAAAGCAATGGAGGATGGCCCTAAGTCTTGGAACCCTGAACCTGCATGGGAGACCTGGAAGAAGCCCCTGGTTCCTGGCTTTTGATCAGCTCAGTCATGGCCACTGTGGCCACTTGAGGAGTGAGTGAATCCTCTTATAGATCTTTCTATCTCTACCTTCTCTATAGATCTGTCCTTCCAATATAAGTCTTTTTTTCCCCCGTATAAATCTTTTTTTTCCAAATAATTTTTAAAGATTTATTTATTTACTTGAAAGGCAATTCCAATCACTTCATAGATGGAGACCACGGTCAGGGGTGAGACATGCTGAAGCCTAGAGCCAGGAGCTCCTTGTTAGTCTCCCACAGAAATGGCCAGGACTCAAATACTTGAACTCTCTTCTGCTGCTTTCTCAGGCATGTTAGCAGAAAGCTGGAGCAGAAGTGGAACAGCCAAGACTCAAGGTACTTAGATACTTAGATGGGATGCCAGCATCACCGGTGGCAGCTTAGCTTGTTGTGCTGCAATTCTAGCCCTGTAATTCTACCTGATGCAAAATGTCTGTCCACATGTACAATGTTGTATTTACCTTTTTTGTTTGTTTTAATATATTTTTATTCTGAATTCTGAATTATGTGGTACAATTTTATATAGGCTCACATTCCACCCCCCGACAGATTTTCCCCATTTTACTACAATAGTGGTATTTACTTTTGTTAATTTGGTATCTATTTGTTTCTAGTGACCAAGTTTTTAAACATCCAACTCACATTATCAAAAATAGAAAGCAGCAGTTACCTGTTACAGGTATGATTTAAACTGTTTCTTCTTCATTTTTTTTTAAGAAAATAGATATTTAGATGACTAATAAAACAAAAAAATATATACATTGATATGTCTTTACTCCTAAGTGTAAGTCACACACTTGTCTCTTTGGTGTAAATGTCTCTGTCACTTCTATATTGCTCTCCAGAACCTTTCTTGTTTACCTACCAGGAAGACTGGCTATGTAGTACTGCACAAAACTTTATGAAAATCTTGATACCTAATAAATGTTGTAAATGTCAGATCCTTTTTAGTTAATTCAAGAAATCTTGTGTTTTATAATCCTTTGCAGATCCTTTTACATTATGTTCAGATATAATAAATAAAGAAGTCACCAGTTTTTTAGCAACCGACAGTTCTTGCAAAACATTGAAATATAGGTGCTCAGGTAAATCTGTTTTAATTGCTACTGTTTCATAGTTAAAGCTTTACTTGATACATGTTAACTAGAATTTATAATGGTTATGCATGTATGACTTAAACTTAATTTCTTTTTGTAGAAGCAAGTAATAAAATAATCTTTTGTAACACATTGAGCTCCTGATATTTATCTGAATCAGCAGTCATCACCCTTATTACTTTATTCTCTCTTGTCATTTTATTCCTTTTTTATTACAATACCATCCATAAATTTGAGTAAATATTTTTTTATGTTTTCAAAAGGCAACTAAATACATATGTATTCTGACTTATTCTCCAAATATAGACATGAAATGTTAATATCTTTTTAAAATCTGTAGTATATAAATGTTTTAGTGTTGCATACCTTTTTTCCCTGCAGGACTCTTGTAAATGGCCCATAGCACTTACTCCGTCTCTTCCTCCTCTTTTACACCTTGGTATCTCCTCTTTGTTCTGTGTTGTCCAAGGAGAAAACTGAAGTCACTCTATATTCAGCTGAAGATATTATCGTGCTTTCCTTCTGGGTGAAGACATTATTTGTGTCACTCTAAAGCTGATGTCTAGCTGTGTGTAACATGAATTCCATGTCTTTTTTTGCCTTTGTTTTTATATTGAAATATCTTTTCAGTCCCTTTCTATTCATCCTTTTGTCCACCCTAAATTGTCCTCTGCTTTCTCGTCTTAAAAGTCCCAATACATTGTTTGATCTACTATCCTTTTAAGTATTCATATACTCTCATATTGCCAGATTCCCTTCTTGGCTTCCTTCAGTTTTAGTTTATTATCCTGAAATACAACTTTTTAATGAAATATGATATTTTAAAACTGTCATTCTCCTAAACTTTAAAGGTTACTTGAAACTTCCTTTTAATCTCAAATCAAATTACTTTGAAAAATTCTTCTTTCCTTTATTGAAATCGTATATGTGTGTTTATAATTTGTTCATTGATTTTAAAGTTTGGAGCAGCAGGGTAGACATGGAAGTTCCATCTGCTGACTCATTTTCCAAATGCTTGCAACAGCCATGACTGGACCAGACTGAACTCAGTCTCTGCACCGGGGTGACAGTAACTGACGTACTTGAGCCATCACCCGTTTCTTCCATGGTGCACATTAATGGGAAGCAAGTGGAGGCAGAACTGATCGTCAAATCTGGATGTTATGTGGATTCCCAAGTGATATCTTAACCACTGTCCCAAAGGTCAACCTTTCCTAATCACTTTCACTTCTTTGAAATGTTGATTATCATTCCTTGAAATTCTTTTATCACAAGTACAAACTACCGGCGCAGTAGCCTAGCAGCTAAAGTCCTCACCTTGCATGTCCAGGATCCCACATTGGCATTAGTTTGTGTCCTGGCAGCTCCACTTCCCAGCTAGCTCCATGCTTGTGGTCTGGGAAAGCAGTCAAGGACAAATGACTGCAGTGATTGGAGCTGAGTCCGCACAAAGCCCAGAATCGGGAGCTTCTTCTAGGTCTCCTTCCTGGGTGCAGGCTTCCAAGCACTTGGGCATTCTTCCATTGCTTTTTTAGTTACATTATCAGGAAGCTGAATGGGAAGTGGAACAGCTGGGACACGAAATGGTGCCTACACAGGATGCAGGACGTTACTCACGACGTCACAGCCCTGAGTTGTTGTTTTTTAACTCATAATGTGTTAATGGTGTAACTGAAGTATTTACGGATGAAATTATACTTTAATCCAAATTTCAGGCATCATAATCTAATCCACATTGATGGAGACAGAGCAGAGTAAGTGCGGATGTTGCTAGGATATAAGTAACCATGATATTGAAGATGTGGAAATCATGCTTGAGGACTCATATTCTTCCCTTTAATGTTGTATTTGAAATTTCTATACTAAAATGTTAACAACAAAAAACCCACATTGACCAGTCTTATGAATCACCTTTTTTGAGTATTCCTCCTAAGAGGAATACCAAGTCAGATACCAAGTCAGAGGAAGACCAAGTCAGATGCTCCTTTATCAACGTAACTCTGGGCTCATCTTCTAATTCCAACACATACCTCATTGGACTGTGTTTGTTGTTTTTGCTCTCACCTGACTTCTTGAGATATTTAAGTTCCTGATATCACATCAATCATCATCATTGATATTTGTTTTCATAAATTTGTTATTGGATATTTTTGTACATCAATTTAATTTGTTTTCTTTTAGGTTGCATAGCCGTGGGAAAATCTGTGAATAGCCGAAATTTTAGCAACCTCTTACACTCTTGCCCATACCAATGTGATCGTCACAAAGTCATTATGGAAGCAGAAGACAGATATAAAAATGAACTAAGGAAATCACTTATCTGTAACAAAAGTAATTAATTCAGCACCTTTGAAAGTATAATTATGACTGTTTTCTGAATTGTCATCTAAAGTTTTAAGCATATTAAAAGCCCAAGTAAAATATGTAGAAGAAGAAAGCTGTTTCTAAGTAACTAGTAATTTTAAGGTGAACCCAGGGAGTAGTCTTGCTCTCTGGTATTTTTAAAATTCTTCCTAATGCTGTAAGGATTCCCACTAGGAGGGGGAGAAAAGTATTATACTAATAGAATTAATATGCTGCATTCTGATTCAAACACTAAATGTGCTAAATATGTTCCATATGTTTCAGAAATTCTGTTGACTCCACGAAGACGGCGACAACTCAATATTGAATCTGCTCCCAGAGGAATAAGTGAATATATTTAATTTTTAAATAAATTTTATGTATTCCTAAGAAAGAAGAGGACAGCTGTGTGGTTGCTTTAAGTTGCATCATGCATGGCTTTTAAATGACAATTCTGTTCTCTGATGAGGAACAAAGAGAATTTCTTGTTGCTTGCTCACCCAGTGGGAAAGAAGCTGAGGAAATCAGTATTCACTAAGTACCTGCTAATGTTTCAGGTGTTTTGTAGATAGTATTTTTTTTTATTTTTATAATACTATAATGTAGGTATTCCTTTATTCCCACTTTAAGGTACATGGAGTTGGTAAATAGTGGAATTGAAATTCAAATGCAACTCTTTTTCCAGAAGCCCTTGTCTATGTTCTGGATCACATTTCTATTTTAAGAACGCATTTCTTACAGAAGTTTTATTTCAATTATTTTAATTAAAAAAAAACACATTTCTTCTGCTATGCACAAGTGCTTCAGAGAGACTTTGTAGATAGCTCAATTGCCTCAGTTGTTCAAAACCAAATAGGCAAGTAGTATGAACCTTAAAACCCTGCTTAAAAATAAAAAATATTCTTAATTATGTGAATTTTATTTGACTAAAGGGTTAACATTTCAATTTTATCACCATTCCAAATATCAGAAATTTAACATTTCTTTCTATTCCTATGAAGCTAGAATGCATGGTAAGAATAGATAGTATAGTACCTTGCTTATCAAACTAATCTGAAAATGAATAAATCTATACTGCCACCATTATTTGTTACAGAGACATTTGTACTTGGTATATGCAGGAAGCATTTTTCCACATATGTTTATTTGACTATTTTTAATTTGCAGAACTTTGGAAGAAATTCCAAATATATAGTTTTTTGCTAGGTGAAACATTCTGCTTGCGAATGAATGCTAAGTATCACTATAGAGGAACCCACTTTTTGAAGTAATGTTTTTTGTAGAAATTATTAGAAAGGGTTAGTTTTTCTGTAGAAACATGTTGCCTTTGGAAATCTTATTCTTGTCAAGAACTTGACATTAAGTTAGTAACAGATTGTTTTTTCTGCAACATGTCATTTAAAAAGATGTAGAAATTAAATCACCTGCAGAGCCTCATGAAATGGCATAATGATGGTCAAACATTGATTGTACAGAGTGACCCTAAGTATTTGAGGTGGCATTCAGCTCATAGATACCACACATCTTTTTTGGATGAGCAGTTTATAATTTGGCTTGCTTTTTTAGTAATTAGAAAGGAATTTTCAGAAAGTTAATCATTCTGTTTGTTTTACATCTTTTTTCACAAGCAGGCCAGGAATACTTGATATGTTGCAATTTTTTTTTTTCCTGTCAACGAATTTCCCTTTCTTAATAAGACATTTACCACCATTTATTTATTTACAATTAAGTTTGTATTTTTCGTTTTGGGACGTGGCCACTGTACTATCTTAGCACTGAAGGATTTCCTCAATTATCAGGGAGCTTTCTTATCAGGATGAATTGGTCTCTAGGAAAAGTGTGGAAATGGGAAATTGTGTAGTTCAGCATCCTTGCCAGTCTTCCATGGTGGCTGATACGAAGCAGCCACAGAGGGGATCCAGGAAGAAGAGGAATCTATGTACTCCTTCCACACTCTGTAGATCTACGTACTGCCCCATACTCTTCAGGAACATGTGAGGGCTTGGGGGCAAACGTTAAGTGTAAGACTTGGCGAAATGGTAGCCACAGTGTTAAGGCTGGTGGTTGGTTAACCATACAGCCTCAGTATCTCCAAAATTATACTAATTTATCCATTCCTGATTAAAATGAGCTCAATTCATTTTGAGCAAATGAAGCTAAAACCAGTTTCTGGATAAACAGTTTCTAGTAGACTCAAACATAAGGAGCAGCTTCATTGAGAGTTTCAAAATGGTTGTTACCAAGAATCTTTCTTTCTCTTGGTATTTACTGATCACCGTGTATTATTTGTTAGCTACTCTTTTGGGTACTAGGAATACAGTGGTGAACAAAATAGAGAAATATCCCTGCCTTCATGGAACTTGCTTTCTAGATATTGTTAAGAAACATTACATTGATTTCTCAGCCTTCTGCTAGAAAGACATTTCTGCTTGAAAAGGTATGCACTGTGGTTATTTAAAACGTGAACAAATAGCTAATGGTTTGGGCCTGTAAGAATGAGATTTTTTTTCTTTTAAATTTTATTTTAATCATGCTTTTTAAAGATTTATTTATTTTTCTTAGAAAGGCAGATTTACACAGAGAAGGAGAGGTAAGAAATAAAGATCTTCTGTCCACTGTTTACTTGCCAAGTGGCTACAAACAGCCAAAGCTGAACTGGAACTGAGCCAATCTGAAGCCAAGAGCCAGGAGCCTCTCCAGGTCACCACAAGGGTGCAGGGTCCCAAGGCTTTGGGTCATCCTCTACCGCTTTCCCCGGCCACAGGCAGGAAGCTGGATGGAAAGTGGAGTAGCCAGGATACAAACCGGTGCCATATGGGATCTCGGCACATACTAGATTTTATAAGGATGGCCCAGCATGTCTATACCTGACCCTTCTGATGTCAGCAGTAACTTTAACTGGCAATATAGAAGAGTCTTCCTTCCCACCAGGAATTAACAATCAATGAAAACTCGGGCCCGGCGCGGTGGCGCAAGTGGTTAAGTCCTCGCCTTGCACGCCCGGGATCCCATATGGGCGCCGGTTCTAATCCCGGCAGCCCCGCTTCCCTTCCAGCTCCCTGCCTGTGGCCTGGGAAAGCAGTCCAGGACGGCCCAAAGCTTTGGGAACCTGCACCCACGTGGGAGGCCCAGAAGAGGCTCCTGGCTTCGGATCGGCATAGTATCGGCCCGTTGCGCTCACTTGGGGAGTGAATCATTGGACGGAAGATCTTCCTCTCTGTCTCTCCTCTCTGTATATCTGCCTTTCCAATGAAAAAATAATAAAAATAAATCTTTAAAAAAAAATCAATGAAAACTCAAATGGTTAGCTAGTAATCATCATCAGAAAAAATTATATTCATAGATATCAACTATGTATTCTTTTTCTAATTTTTTTTTTAACTTAAAAGAGTTACAGTAGCCAGAGCTGGGCTGATCAGTAACTGACAGCCAGGAACTCCCATGTGGGTTCAGGGCTCAAGCACATGAGCCATTATCCTACACTAATTTCCCAGGTCATTATCAGGGAGCTGGATTGGAAGTGGAGCAGCTGAACTCAAACTGGTGCCCATATGGGATGCCTGCACTGCATGCAAAGGATTAGCCTGCATGTCACTTCATCACCCCAGCTATACATTCTTTCTGTTACAGAAAGTATCCCTTAAAAAAAAGTTAAAATCTTCCTTTCCTTTCCATTTCCCATAGGACAACCAATTTGAGTTTTGATCAAGCTGAATGTTTATATAACATTTATTTATTTTTATTGGAAAGATTTCCAGAGAGAAGGAAAGACAAAAAACTCTCATCCACTGGTTCACTGCCCCAAATGGCCACAATGGCTGGAGCTGAGCCAATCTGAAGCTATGAACCAGCAGCTTCTTCTAGGTCTCTCCAACGGGTGCAGGGTTCCAAGGCTTTGGGCTGGCCTTTACTGCTTTCCCAGGCCACAAGCAGGGAACTGAAAGGGAAGAAAGTAGAGCAGCTGGGATATGAACTAGTGCCCATATGGGATTCTCGAGCATGCAAGGCCCTGGGACACTGCACCTGTGTGGGAGACTTGGAAGAGGCTCCTGGTTTCTGGTGTCAGTTACACTCAACTTCAGTCTTGGGACCATTTTGGGAGTGAACCAGTGGATCGAAGATGAACCTCTATACCACTTTCTCTCTGTAAATTTGCCTTTCCAATAATAATAAATAAATCTTTATATTTGGATTTCTCAATGAGGAGTAACCTAGATATGACATCATCTCTGTTATTCATAACCTTGGAATAAGTTAAGCACTTACTTGGGTCTCAAAAAATGCTTTTTTTCAGCAGGTACTAATATATTCTACAATTCTCAATTGCAGAAAAAAGAAGAATTCGTAAAAATTTTACTGAAGAAGAAATAAGTTACATTTTCAGTGGAGTTAAGAAAATGGGAAATCACTGGAATTTGATTTTATGGTCTTTCCCGTTTCAACAAGGTCGGACATCTGTGGACCTTGCTCACAAATATCACAAGCTGACCAAAGCTCCAAGTGTCTAACTCCCTGATTGGCAGAAAATATTGTCATAGCTTAGTTTTGATCTCTTAAAAAACCTTGAAAAATACAAAAAATTTAAGTATTTGTCTAAACTTTTCCAAGGCAGAATTTGTAGAAGCAGAGATATGATAATTAAACAGTTTGTAATACTGGAATTCTTGTAATTATTGCAACAGTTTATAAGGTAAATGTACTTTCAATGTTAAGAAAAATTTATCATAAGGCCAAACGGTTGTGAATATAGTCTTACTTTTCCTTAAGCTCAAAGAATATGGTTCAGAGAGGAAAGTAATCAGCGTCTTACTCACTGCCAAAGACCCTCCCCAGAACTCAGAAAAACAGAATAGTTGCCCAAGCTGCTCAGCCGAGTTCCCACATATTAAATCGTTGTTTGACATTTTGTTAATTAACATTCTTGTTTTAAAAGCTGATTTTGCAGTTGCTTTGAATGCTTCCATATTGTGTGATTTGGTTCACTTCTTTTTGGCATATGTTTATTTGCTTTAGGTTTTCAAAAGTGATTATTCCTTTCCCTTCTCTCACACTTGGTATCCTTCATGGTGACAAGCTGTGCCATTTCATGCTGCAATGGGACAGTGTCACATCCCCTGAGGCTGACCACCAGACACTGCTTTGTAAAATATGTCCCAACAGAAATGTGGCCTGCAGGGCCAGGTAGGGGATCAGCTTCTGTGCTAGGTTCAGTGAGGTTTTATGGACCTGAAAATGCTTCTTGGCATGCTATGTGACCGAGGAGCCTGTCCTGGGCTCCAGTCTAAGAATCACTTCCTCCTCCTCTCTCTCCTAAATGCCCACAACAGCTGGTATTGGGTCAGATCAAACTCAGCCTCTATCAGTCCAGGTCTCCTAGGTGGATGGCAGGGACCAACTACTTGAGCCATGACCTACTGCCTCCCAGGGTCTGCGTTAACAGGAAGCTCAAGTTGGCAATGTCAGCAGCACTCAAACCCAGGCACTGCAGTATGGGATGGGATTATCCCAACAGTGTGTTAGCTGCTATGTGATAGGTACCCTCACTTGTTTATGGTAAGAATTGTCCAGTATTCTGTTGAAATCTGCATTTGCTATGTCTGTAGTATCTTACACAACATTCCTGCACAAAATATATTGTGTCATTTTATTACTTTATTTTTCAACTGATCACTGTAGAGAATTTTACCTGGTGCTGCTGATCAAACTCAGTGCCTGTAGTTTTCAACCCCATCTCTTATCCTGTGAAAACCCAGGCTCTTCTTGCCTATGACTTCCACCACTCTGCCCGCTTTTCCCAGACCTCCAGGGATATAACTGTTCATGACTTTTCCCTGCCATTTTCTTTCTTAAACCCTGGATCTGGGCTGGCAGGTAATAGTCCCCTTTTTGGAACCCTGTGTTTCATACTGCTATTTTTTTTTTTTTTTTGTGGTAGAGCCAGGACCACAGTCCTGCTCAGATATTTTTCTGCCCGATTCCACTTCCTGTGATCCTTAAGAAGTGTTTGTAGTGCCAGCTTGCTTCCGGCCAGCAGAATGGCAGTCCCTCAGGTGGAGGTCATACCGGAAGACACACTTTCTTTCTACATGGTCCTCTGTGTTGCCTTTTCCCCTTCCCTTTGCAGCCCCCCTTTTTTCTTTCTCTTCCACCTATCTCCCCATTTCCACTCTGACAGAGAACTAAAGCGGCTGATTTTAGTTTCGAATGTCAAAATCTGTTAACAATACACTTGGCCTGGCTTTAGTCATTTGCATTAAAAAGTGAAGAAATCACATTTCCACACAAAGGCTTGGGTGTGCAAATGTTGAGCACAGCATTATAAGAGCCAAAAAGGGAGAAACAACAATGTCCAAGTAGTGAGTAAACAGCATGTGGTATGTCCATGTGGTGAGATACATTCATCCAAAAAAGAAGCAAAATGCACCTGAAACAATGTGGCTGAATCTCAGAAACAGACTAAATGACACGAGATCACTTGTGGCATTCCGTTTATAGATGGTTTCCCAGGAAAGGCAAACATAGAGGAAGTATTTATTATTGGTTGTCTGGTGGGTGGGAAAAGCAGTTCACAAAAGGGGCTGTGGGCGTAAGGAATCATTCTGGGATGATAAATGTTCTAAAATTGTATCGTGGAATTGTTACATTGATTTACAACCTTAACACCTATGAAGGTGAAAAGCCACAGATTGGTGAGAATTAACAGTGATGTGCTTAAGGCTGGTGTTACAGTGCACGACTTGGTTAGGATTAGGCCAAATTCCTGAAAAAATTAAGACTGCCCAATACTGTCCATCAGAGTGCAAGGGACGCTATCATGTAACATTGGGACTTTGGACGAGCTTCCTGAACTTTCTCATGCATAAGAGTTGGCTAAGGTTCAGCGAGATGTGTGATGCCGACACATGTGTGATGCGAGATGTGTGATCAGGGTTGGGTAAAGGCTGCGGCCACGCGAGTCTCCCAAAGCCCGGGCTACCCGCGCGTGTTCTGGGCGACGCCTCGGCGGGGCGGCCGGCTGGGCGAGGCCAGGGCGGGGCGCGGCGCTGCGCCCCTCGGCCGGCAGGGGCCGCCAGCGCGCCCTCTGGCCGGGCGGTGCCCGCCCCCGCCGCACGTCCCCGCGCTGGGCTGCCCCGGCGACCGCCTGACCGCCGCCCGCCACGCCAGCGGCCTCGCACCCCGGGGGAGGCCGCAGCCACCTCCGGCCCTTTAGGCGGCTTTGGGTGGCGCGTCCCCTGCGGGAGAGGCGCCGGGTGGTGGCGGAGCTCCGCGGGGAGCGGCGGGCGCCGGGCGGCCGGTTCGGGGTCCTCGCGGGTCCTCGGCAGGCCCGGGGGAGGGCCCTCTTTGTGGCTGCAGTTGGCAAGATGGCGCCGGTGGGGGTAGAAAAGAAGCTGCTGTTGGGTCCCAACGGGCCCGCGGTGGCGGCCGCCGGCGACCTAACTAGCGAAGAGGAGGAGGGTCAGAGTCTATGGTGAGGTCGCGGGCGGCCAGGCCTGGCCGAGGAGGGCCTGCCCTGGGCGGGAGCCGGGTAGGCCGGGGGCGACCGTGGGACCGGCACTTGAGGGGCCATCGCGGCCCGGGAGGTTAGGTCTGCCCCGGGGCTGACCGCCCCTGTCGTTGTCGCTGCAGGTCTTCGATCTTGAGCGAAGTGTCCACCCGCGCCAGGTCCAAACTGCCGTCTGGCAAGAACATCCTGGTGTTCGGTGAGCGCTGGTGCCGGGGCGTTGCCCAGGGGCGCTTGGGGTGGGCAAGGCAGGCGTCTCTCTGGCAGATGTCAGCCGCCCCCCATTCACCTGCCGCCTGCAGCAGGTGTCCTGTGCAGGACGGCTCTGGCGACCCCGGCTAGGAGTCGGGGGTTGGATGCTGCTCCTTGGGAGAGAGTGCGGTGTGGCTGCGTGGGGCTATCGGTGTGTTGCTGAAGTGATTTGGTCGCAGCCTTGGTTTGCGCCCTCGCCTTAGGTGTCCCCGACTCCCCGTGTCTGGGCTTGGAGAGAGCAGTGAGTCGGTGAGGTGGTGACCTGGAGAAGGCGGGAAAGGAGATGCTGTGAGCTCAGAGCCGTGGGAAGTGCCACACCAGCCCTTCTCCGTCCTCTTGAGCAGCGCTGTCAGGCGTTTGAGGCCTCCCTGCGTGTATTCCAGCCCTTACTGCTAGGCTTTCCTGGGGCAGCTCCCTTGTTTGCTCATGAGCATTGGGGAGTTTTGGAACATTCACCAAAGGAGCCCGTTGGTGGGACTGGGACGGCAAAGGCAGCGCCGAGACACCCCCACAAGAACCCCTCCATCCACCAAGAGACAGATGTGTGTTGGTGACTGCTGCCGCATGCCGGGTGTGGGCAGATGATGGTGTTGTGGGAAATAAGTGTCAGTGTGCGGTGGCCCAGGGGTGACAGAACGGTGAGCAGCTCTGAGACCATGGGCAGTTTCTGTACTAGGAGCCTGTTAAGGTGAGCAGGGGCGCGGAGACTGGGAGAGACCGAGTCCCAGTACTCCCTGCCGCAGGCCTTTATCTCATGGGCATGCAGGTCTTCTCGGAGGCACTGCATGTTGTTGGTTTTCCTTCTGCTTCTGAGGTGAACATATGCTGACCACTGTTGTGGGCACCAGAGGATCCTTCAAAAGCCTCAGGGTCTGTGTGTGATCAGAGAGGGGCCCAGGGTCAGAAAGAGCAGGTGCAAAGTGAGGCGGATGAGTTCTTGTCCGGGTCCACCCGCAGGAGGACAGCCTTTGTGTAGTAATGGCCGTGGGTGGGAAGAGTGGGCATGGATTCTTAGATAGTGGCTCCATTTTCCTGAGATGCCATGTATCAAGCCCCAGGAGTGCCTAGGGGGGCTTGCTGGGTTAGAGTTTGTTGAGAAAGGTTGGGAGGGGTTGTAGTTAGTTGGGCAGAGGGAGATGAGGAAGTCGGTAGTAATTACCAAGATTATACTTGAGAGTTGTGCTTAGGCCTGTAATTATTTCCAGTTCCCTAGCCTTCAGAAGGCTGTGAAGGAGATGCACTAAGGTCAGACGTGGAGCGGCTTCTGTTCGTCTGTTCTGTTCTTCGTGATTGTGGGGCAGGAGCAGACCTATTTTAGTTCACAGTTCCAAGATTTTTGAGGCCAGTTGTATTTTGAAGGTTTCCTGTTATTCTTATGAGAAAAGTTTGTCTTGTGAGACACTAGCCCCACCTTTTACTTGCACTTCTCCAAATGCACATCCTGTCAGCCGTATAGCTTTCCTCTCTCGGGACGTGAGGTAGAATGTGGTAGAATGTCTTTAGAGCATGGGGATCGGCCACCTTTCCCACCCCAAGCATTCATACAGCAAAATCAGCTGTTTACTGAAGCAGGTGCATCCCCTGCGGCAGGGTTTGAATGGAATTCTTAGTTGTGACTTTCGTGCCATGACTCCCTAGCCTTGCTCAAAATAAACTGTACACCTTCATCTCCCTCAACCATCAATTGTAGGTGAAGATGGTTCTGGTAAAACAACTCTCATGACGAAACTACAAGGGGCTGAACATGGCAAGAAGGGCAGAGGCCTGGAATATCTCTACCTCAGCGTTCATGATGAGGACCGAGATGGTGAGTGGGCAGGGATCTGGGCAGCATTCCACCTTTTGCCAGGCAGTGTAGGCAGAAGGTCTGGGAGAACTAAGGCAGTGATGCATGAACTGTGTGTCTTCAGTAGAACTTCACGCCTTTTCCTCTGTTTGCAAACACCAGAATGGGACTGGCTGCCACTGCTCTGGCCAGCCCCTGCTGAAGAGGAGAGACTAAAGAGACGAGTTTGACATATGCAGACTGGCAGTGAAAATTTTGTTTTTAAAAAGCTATGGAGTTTCCGTAACCCACAGCCTCTGCCTGGTCCCAGCGTGGCCTCTCAAGGGAAGACGTTTGCTGATGCTATCTGTGGCTGCTGAGTGCTCCTGTCTGGGTTCCTGGGGCGGGGGTAGAGGCTTGGGCATGAATGCTTTGCGAGTTCTCATCCCCAAGGTGTGATGTGGGTGTAATTACTTCTGCTTTCACAGGAGCTAGAATGGGAAAACTCACAGGGATGAGAGAAGTTTTTATCATTCCTTGGGGAGATTGGCAGCAATTCATAACTGTTGAACTAGGAAAACCACTTTAGCAAGACCCTCGGAGCATGCCCCACATCCAGAGACCTGGGATGGGTGGGAGACTGAGTGGGGCTTCTCCCTTTATCTTCCCCTTTACCCCAGATACAGGAAAAAAAATGTGAAAATAATAGTCTTACCCACTTTCCTGTAGCCCTTGAACCTTTGTGCCCTAATTAACTATGTAAAGATTGTCACAAATGAAGGGGAAAAAAAGGTTTTATCATTCCTTCTCATAATTATGTGTTAGATTGGCAAAAATGGTTTTTAGTGACGACTAATCAGTAATGCCTCCTGTATAATGTTAAATTTTTTGTTTGTTGTTTTTTTTTTTAAGGTTTATGTATTTATTGAAAAGAGTTACAGAGCAGGAGAGACAGAGACCCATGTGCTGGTTCACTCCCCAGGTAGCTGCAGTAGGCAGGATTGGCCTGATGGAGCCAAGAGTCTGAAACTTCATGTGGTTCTCACACCTGGGTGGCAGGGGCCAAACACTTGGGTCTCCTCTACTGCTGTTTCCAGGCCATTGGCAGGGGACTGAATGGGAAGTGGAACAGTCAGGATATGAATCAGTGCTAATATGAGATGCTGGTGTTGCAGGTGGCAGCCTTACTTCCTGTGTCACATCAATCCCATATTTTAGGTTTTACTTTTTTTTTTTTTAAGTGATTTTGAAGTCAATAATTATTGTTGCCTAGGTGGTTGGTTTTGGTAGGAAAGTTACTGGTATACTTGAGAAGGTATATATTGGTTAAATTGCTTTCTTTTAAATTTCCTTTACCTATGTAAACAGCAAGGCTCATGATTAAAGAGTGATTATGTAAGTGGGCACTTTCTGGTCCCACAATTTTTTGTTGCTAAAGAACCTGAAGCAGATTTTTTTTCCAGCACTGGAATTTCTGTCCCCTCCAAGAGCCATTTCATAGAGGGCATGGGCTAGAGTCTCCTGTTAATTTTGATTATCCACACAGTACCAGTATTAACTCAGCAGTCATCTTAGAACCCTGGGGTTTTTTATATCTGCTGTGTCTGTCCTGCCCGGCATTCCCTGAGGATGTGAAAGGAAGGTGAGAGGCAAGAGATTGACCTACTGCCAAGGGCTTCTGTAAAAGTGACAGAAGCAAGCGTTTGGGGACCTGACGCATCTAGGACCATTGGAGTCTACAAGCCAGGCTGGGATTCAGGCTATTGTACTAGGCCGAATGGGCCCATATGTTTGCCTCCTCTGCTTCCTGTCTTAATTGGGCAGCCTGGTTATTGTGGATCTGGGCTTTGGAGTGACATGTAACTGGTTTGAACCACTTCTGTGGTTCGTCATTGTGCGTCCTTGGGTAGTTGACTTCACCACTTTCAGTCTCCTCATTTGTGGACTGGGGTGATGATACCTGTCTTGCAGGTGGTTGGAATGAATTGGTGTGTGTTGTGGTGAAGGAGCAGTTTGAAACCCAGAACAGCCCTGGTGCGCTGTTGTTGTGTTCCTCTGGAAGGAACAAAGTGCTGTAGATACTCTGGGGGTCTCTGGACCCTCTTCTGTTTCCAGATGGTGAAGGCATATTTCTTTTTTTTTTTTTTTTAAGATTTATTTTTATTATTTTTTTTATTGGAAAGGCAAATATACAGAGAGGAGGAGAGACAGAGAGGAAGATCTTCCATCCGATGATTCACTGCTCAGGTGAGCGCAACGCCAATGCTATGACGATCCAAAGCCAGGAGACTCTTCCAGGTCTCCCGTGCGGGTGCAGGGTCCCAAAGCCTTGGGCTGTCCTCGACTGCTTTCCCGGGCCACAGGCAGGGAGCTGGAAGGGTCCCGGGAGTGCAAGGCGAGGACCTTAACCACTGTGCCACCGCACCGGGCCCGCATATTTCATACCGAAACTGCATGTTGACCGTATGTCCATGTGTGCCTTGGAGTTGAAATACATATAAACTTGTGTTACAGACAGCTTTAGGATGACCTTAAAAACCTCTTGAGCTCTGCATTTATGAGATTGTTTTTAAGGCTGCCTATGTGGGAGTTGCTTTTTGATGGAAGAGCTGCCCTTATCTGTGCTTAATTATACAGCTTTCCGCAGAGCCCTTTGATCGTGTGTGTGACTGGTGTGACAGCATGTTTTTCAGGCCCACATTAGATAGTGGTCTCTGGCTTACACCTTTCCAACGGAGAGCTGCCAGCCCAAGTTGGGTACATGATGTGTGTGTGAGTGTGTGTGTGTGATCTCCATGCGCGTGTGTGAGTTGGGTTAGTGGGAAGAGGACCCACTGCTGGCCTTAAGGGCCGCACATCTGCTGATGTCTGCATGTGGACCAGTGCTCTGTAGAGTGGGTTTCCAGAGCCCAGACCACAGCTGCTGGGAAATACTTCAATATTGGGATTGAAAGTGTACCTAGATTTAGATGCCTTATTCTTTTTAAAGTCAGGAGTATATAATTTTTTTATAGTATATTAATGGTTATACAAAATTAATATATATGTTGGAATTTATTGGAAAAAAAAAGTTCACAAAGTGATAGTTTTCATGGCAGGATTTCTCTCTCAAGCTTCTTTCTGAAGAGTAATTGTTAATATATTTTCCAGAAATGTATTACCAGTTTGAATAATAGTCTGTACAGTTTGGTGATTCAGGTTTGATTTTGGAAGCATACACTGCATTAAATGTCAACGTTTGCGCTTTAATAGATTATGACAAATATATGTGTGTATGTGTACATATGTGTGAAGGTAGAATCCAGTGTCCCAAGCCATAATGTGTCTGTCACTTTTATGAATTCTGGCCTGTTTATTTCCAATGTGATTTTCCTTTCTCCCTTAAGTCCATCCTGGGTTAATTTGAAGCAGATTTTAGGTATTTCATCTACAAGTGCTTCTGTGTCTAAAAGATGAGGATTTTTAAGAAGTATGACCACATTATTGTCACAACAAAGGTAGCTCATTGTCATATCATCAGGCATCCAGTGATTCAGATCCAGATTTATGTGCGTATTGGTTTTATCTTAGCATTAAACTGCAAAGGTCCTGTCTGGCACGTTCACAGTGTGTGAAAAATTGCCTCATGGAACCGACACAACAAAGGCGTTTGGAACCACTGGCTTGGGGCACAGTGAACATTGGTATTTTTGGTTCTTTTTGGTTTTTATTGGAAGGTGAACTGTCTTGGGGCTGGCGTTGTGACAGTAGTTAAGCTGCTGCCTGTTATATCAGCATTTCATATCTAGTTCTGCTTCAGTTTCTTTGTTTCTTTGTCTTTCTTTCTTTCTTTCTTTCTTTCTTCTTAAGATTTTTTTCATTTATTTATTTATTTTGAAAGATTTACAGAGAAAAGGAGATACAGAGAGAAAAATCTTCCATCCACTGGTTCACTCCCCAAGTGGCTTCAACAACCAGAGCTGAGCCAATCCAGAGCCAGGAGCAGGGAACTTCTTCCAGGATTTTCAACTCAAGTGCAGGGTCCCAAGGTTTTGGGTTGTCCTGGACTCATTTCCCAGGCCACAAGCAGGGAGCTGGTTGGGAAATGGAGCAGCCAGGATACGAACCAGTGTCCATTTGGGATCCCAGTGCATGCAAAGTGAGGATCTTAGTCACTAGGCTCCTGCACTGGGCCCACGGTTCAATTTCTTTGTTTTGTTTTGTTTTGTTTTAAAGATTTATTTATTTTTACTGGAAGGGCAGATATACAGAGAGGAGGAGAGGTAGAGAGGAAGATCTTCTGTCCGATGATTCACTCCCCAAGTGACTGCAACGGCTGGTGCTGCGCCAATCTGAAGCCAAGAGCTTGGAGCTCTTCTGGGTCTCCCATGCGGGTGCAGGGTCTAAGCCTTTGGGCTGTCCTGGACTGCTTTCCCAGGCCACAAGCAGGGAGCTGGATGGCAAGTGGAATGACCTGGATTAGAACCGGTGACCGTATGGGATCCTGGTACTTGCAAGGCGAGGACTTTAGCTGTTAGGCCACGGTGCCAGGAGCTATGGTTCAATTTCTGACTGCTCTGCTTCTAATCCAGTTCCCTGCTGGTGTGCCTGGGAAAGCAGCGAAAGATGGTCCTTGAACTTGGACCCTTCCCACCCATGTGAAAGTCCAGGATGGAGTTCTTGGCTGCAGGTTTTGGCCTGGCCTGGCCCAGCCCAGGCTGGAGTGACCATTTAGGAAGTGAACAGTGGATAGGATGGCTCTCTCTTTTTTCTCTCTCTCTTCCTGCCTCCCTCCCTTCCATTCTTTGTTCTGTCTTTTCAATAAAATAAAGTCTTAAAAATTTGGTCTGGCACAGTGGACTAGCAGCTAAAGTCCTTGCCTTGCACGCTCCGGGATCCCATATGGGCTCCAGTTCTAATCCCAGTGGCCCCACTTCCCATCCAACTCCCTGCTTGTGCCCTGGGAAGGCAGTTGAGGACGGCCCAAAGCCTTGGGACTCTGCACCCACATGGGAGACCAGGAAGAAGCTCCTGGCTCCTGGCTTCGGATTGGCATAGCTCCGGCTGCTGTGGTCGCTTGGGGAGTGAATCATTGGATGAAAAATCTTCCTCCCTGTCTCTCCTCCTTTCTGTATATATAACTTTCCAATAAAAATAAATAAAATCTTTAATGATAATAAGATGCCTTACCTTTATGCCTAGCTTCTTTTTTCCCCTCAGATCACACACGCTGTAATGTTTGGATTCTGGATGGAGACCTGTACCACAAAGGCCTGCTGAAATTCGCAATGTCTGCGGAATCCTTGCCGGAGACCTTGGTCATTTTTGTTGCAGACATGTCTAGGCCTTGGACTGTGATGGAATCCTTGCAGAAATGGGCTAGTGTTTTACGTGAGCACATTGATAAGATGAAAATTCCGCCAGAAGAAATACGGGAGCTAGAACGGAAGTGTAAGTAAAATTGAGTTTTGCACTCTCTTTGGATGACCCTGCCTGCCTACTCTGTGGAAGGCGAGAGGCTTCCCCTGCTTGTGTGTGTCCTAAGTTCACTGCACATTTCAGCTGCTCAGTGTCACAACTGGAGAAGAGGAGGCAGTGTTGCCTGGTACCTTAGTGGGTCTGTTCTCAAAGGAGATTTCTTCCTTCGGTCCCTGAAATGAGATTCTGTACTGTGGCTGTCAAGCTTTTGTGTTTTCTCTGCCTGTGGAGTTGGCATCAGAGGGTGTTGGGGATGTGGGGTGCTCTCTGCAGCTTGAATCCTGCTTTGGAGTTCCTCTGGGGTCCCTGTCATGGGCGCATTTCGGGGAAGCCCTACTGAGACAAACCTGAGACAAATTCTTTGGCTCCTGGCAGTTTAGTACTGGGTTCTAAAATTTTAGTTCAAGATAGGAAGTCATTTTTGTGCTTCTTGAAATGAAAGGCTATTTTAAGCCTGAGGATGTCCCAAGCTCTTAAGAGAACAAAGAACTTGGAAATAAAAGGAAGTTGGTTTCCCCGTTTGCTGTGGTTCAGAAGCTTGTTTTTCTTTCCCCTTGCTTCTGAGCGGTTACATCACCTTCTGTCCGCTTGCCAGGGAACTGGGAGGGGCCAGCATTGGAGCTGCAGCTGTCCTAGCTAGGGGAGGCTTGGCCTCTTCTGGCTTGTTGCCATAGGATGACATCACTCCCTCTTGTGAATACTGAGGGCTGCTGGGCACGACACATGGCATCTTCATTCTTGCTGGCGGAAGATTCAAGAATTGTGATCTGCTTTTCAAATCACATTTCCTGCTGTGTGTCTTCCTGTACTCACCTTGTCTGGCTTGAGCCCCGCAGTAGCTAAAACGGAGTTTTAACCTTTTTCTCTGTGTGTATGTGTGCTTGTGGGTTTCCTGAATGAGCTGCCGTTATTGATATGCAGCTCAGCTTGTCTGTCTCCGGCCACTGACCTTTCCAGATAAAGCTTCTGTGCCTGTGAAATAGAGACCTTAAAGGCCGCTTCTCACAGTAGACGTGGGACTGAAGGGCCATCTGTATCCAGTGCAATCAGAGCTTGCTGCTCTGAGAGGGGGCTAGTGTGCCGCAGACTGCGGCTCTTTGAACCTGTTTTCTTACAGGGATAACCTTGTAAGGATTTGTTAAAAGAAAAAAGGAGAAAGACTGAGCCAAGAGTGGGGTTCCTTCCCAGGTAGGGAAGCATCTGCCCGAGACCAGGTGCTGCACAGTGTGCTGGGGCACAGCTGGATAAAGGTCTGCTTCTGGGGCTCTTGGGCATCCCTGAACCCCTGTCTTCTTTCTGTGGTCTCAGTTATTGATGGCCGTGCCCTTGGGGGTGTGTTCCCTCTGCATGTAGCAGAACACCTGGGAAATGCTAGTATTTACAGGACACAGGTGTGCTGGCACAGTGAGGCAGTTCAGGATAGGAATTAGCCAGGGAGACAGGCTGGGGACCTGGGTTCCTGTGGCCTTGCTGCTTTGCTGTGTCTAGGTGTGGCTGTCTTCCTCCTGGTACTGGAGCTTCAGCTCTCACACCCATGTTCCAGGCAGCAGGAAGGAGGAAGTGGAAGGACAGGCCAAAGGGCACTCATCAATCTGTTACGGAGGCCAGGAAATTTAGGCTTAATCCTGCGGAGCCCTGTGTTTTAAGGCTGGAGTCTTAAAGCATTTTGTTTGGCTTTGAAGGGGAAGAAGAGCACATGCTGGGGGCAGATAGCAGTTGCTGGTATCATGCCTGCCTGCGTCTCAGGTCTGGCTAACGTGCCCAGAGCCTCTGCTCTCACTGTCCCTTCTTAGAGGGGTTTGGCATGGCAGGATGTCTTTGTGCCACGTGTAGAAGGAGTGCCTTTGTTAGGGCTGGGGTTAGCTTACATTTTAATAAAGCATTGGGCAACCTTGTGTTCACAGGCCATCACTTCCCAGGTATTCTGTTCATTGTGTTGGGTATGTGATGCTTTCTGTCTGGGGCATCTCTTGTGTATGTGAGTCTAGGGGGTCATTAGAACTGTGGAACCAGTGGGTGGTCAGTGAGGTTGGAGGGATAAGGTCCAAGCAGCGGCAGCAGCAGGGGTCACGTTCCCTGTGATCTCTTTCCCTGCTCCCTCATGTCAGAAGGGAAGCTTAGGGTTCCTGCTGGGAGACACTGGCCATTACCTGTTGGGAGACATATAGTTAGCACTATGGATTGTGTTGAGCTAAGCAAAATTTTACACATCCTACATCTAAATTACACACTCTTTCTTGGGCCTCTCTTATGTGTATGGTAGGCGCATTGCCTCTGCCTTCCTACCTGTAAAATGACAAGTTACTTAAAAACCTGTGAATCCCCTACTGCTGTTAGCCACAGGTAAGTTGTTGCTTTAGGGTGGGAATGGTCTGACCCAAGGCTCCTGAACTCTCCTCCTGCCCTGGCTTCCGTAGTAGGATCCTGTGGAGTTAGGGCAGCTGCTAAGTAATGGAAGTCCATGACGCAGGCTGCTCAACTGCCCACTGCCCCCTCCCTTCCCACTGGGATATGGCTCTATGGAAAGCCGTGGTGCCTCTTGGGAGCTCACCCAGACAGTTGAGCCATTGTATTTTTCTTTGATGTGAAGGCTGCTCACAATGTTTTTGAGAAGGAAATGTGAGAATCTTTGGTTCTTTTAAGCCCCTTCAACAACTATGTTAAGTTTCTGTTTAAACTAAGGCATCACTTGAGTAGATACTAGAATATATACATAAACTTAATTAAAGAGAAATTGTCTTATAGCCACATCTTAGGGCCTAGTTTCTTTTTTACCCAATATTCTGTGAAACACTGTGAGCTCCCAGGTAATGTCTGCAGCTCTTGTATTGATAACCTAAAGTTTTTGTCAATAAAAAATTAAAATGCATTATTTGAAAGCTGTGTGTGAAGTGTATATGTTTTTGCCTGGGCCTCTTATAAATTCTTTTCAGTGATGTTTGTGAAAGACAGAAAAAAGAGATTTCCCATCAGTTGATTTACTCCCCAAATATCCGCAGCAGCTGAGGCTGGGTCAGGACAAAAGCCAGGATCTTAGAACACAGTTTGGGTATCCAATGTCAGTGTCAGTGACCTAGCTGCTTGAGTTGTTGCCTGCCATCTCCCAAGGAGCCCATTAGCAGAAAGCTGGGATCGGGACCTGAGCTGGGATTTGAACACAGCCACTCCAGTAGGGGATGTGGAAATCCCAGGTGGTTCTTAGAGGGTGTGCCAAACACCTGCCAAACACAGCTTCAGTTCTGTCCTTTGCCTTTACTTGCCTCCTGTGATGTTGATGAGACAAAAGGCCTTTGGGTCCTTCAGTCCTGTTGAGCTTAGAAGAGTAGAGCTGCCTATTTGCTCCTCTCACTCAAAGTAACTTGAACCGCTGTGTCCATGTGCCGTGGACAGGTCAACTTTGCAGCGCCCACAGTGAGTGCAGGCATGTGGGCCTTGGGCTTCTTGGCTTAACAGAGCTGATGGACTACTCGCAAGTTGAAGGCCCTCATTAGCCAGGGTAGGGGATATATGTGGTGAGAAGTGATGATACAATCTGATGCAACTAGGAGGTTGGTCACATGGAACTGCTTATTTTCTGTGCTGGTATGCTGCCTCTCTCAGTTTGCTAAAGCTAATGTGTGTTGTATTTGTATATATGATTTTATTTCTTTTTTCCATTAGTTGTGAAAGATTTTCAAGACTATGTTGAGCCCGAAGAAGGTTGTCAAGGTTCCCCCCAGAGAAGAGGCCCTCTGACCACAGGCTCAGATGAGGAGAGCGTTGCTTTGCCCCTGGGGGACAACGTGCTGACTCACAACCTGGGGATTCCCGTGCTGGTGGTGTGCACAAAGGTGTGGGCCAGGGGGGCCTAGCATGCTGGGTGACCAATGAATTGTCACTGCTGTCAAGAAAGTTGGAGACATTTAGATAAAACTTTTTCACAAGGGGGCATTGGTCTCACTTGTGGTTCATCAAGATGGCATTGAATGTCAGGTTGGAAAACTGTCATTTAATGATGCTACTGGGAATGAGATTGCTCAGGTTGTTTCTGGCCTGGGCTAATCCTCTTGTGGCACACTGTTGACTTTCTTTGTAAGATATTAGCTTGTTTGCTTTGTTTATTTACTTTATGAAAGGCAGGGAGAGGGACAGATAGCCTATCTGCTGGTTCACTCCTTAAATGTCCACAATAGCTGGCAGGGACCCAGCTGCTTGAACCAGCACCTACTACTTCCCAGGGTGCACCTTAGCAGGAAGCTGGAACCAAGGGTGGGGCTGGGACACAAACCCAGGCTCTCCTGTGTGGTGTGTTGAAGTCCCAAGCAGCATCTTGGCCTTTATACCAAATGCGTGCCCCAAAAGCAGTTTTCATGTCACCCAAACTGGTAATGAAAAAGAGAATGAGTTGGAAATAGGAATTAAGTTCAGTTGTAGAGAAACAAACTTAACATCTCTTACATAAGGGGAAAAATAGTTTTAAAAACATTTTGGATTGCAAAGTGCTTTGTTCCAAATGAACCTGTTGCCCCACAATGGGGTGTGCCTGTCTCCTCCTGGTAGTGAGAATGGAAACCGGCGGCCAGCAGTCACAGCCATGACCCTTGGGCCTGATGAGACCTTGTTCTGTGTTGAGAGCTACTGTAAACTGATTGGGCCTGTCTGTAGAGAAACTGAGGCCTAGAATGAAAGGGACAACTCCCCAGTGACTTAGTGCTTGGCCGCCTGTCCTCCTCAGTACCCTGAAGCTGGTGCTGAAGAAGGCCTCAGTGGGCGGACAGTAACTCTTTGTCTTGGTGTCTCCCCTGCAGTGTGATGCCATGAGCGTCCTGGAAAAGGAACACGACTACAAGGACGAGCACCTGGACTTCATCCAGTCGCACCTGCGCAGGTTCTGCCTCCAGTGTATCCTTGGGGCGCTGGGTCGGGGCCCACAGGCATGGACCTCTCTCCAAAGGGGTAAAGCACCATAGCAACCCCAGGGAAATTGCTTGTATCTTTTGCTGTGTTGGAATTTGAGACTTATTGACTTGTGCTTTAGGGTAAAAAAGTATTTATATAACTGAAAGGCAGAGTTAAAGAGAGATATTCGATCCATTGGTTCACTCTTCAATGGCTGCAGTCTAGACCTAAATGAAAGCAGTACTCAGGATCTTCCAGTTCTCCCACATAATGTGCAGGAACCCAAGCACTTGGGTCATCTTCCTTGGCCTTCCCAGGCTCATTAGCAGGGAGCTGGATTAGAGCAGCCTGGATTTGAACTGACACTCATACGCATACCTGCATCACAGGTGGCAACAACTTGTTGACAGCACAACATTGACCCCTTGTGCCTATCTTTGATTACAATTTTTTTTAAAGATTTATTTATTTTTATTGCAAAGTCAGATATATAGAAAGGAGGAGAGACAGAGAGAAATATCTTCTGTCTGATGATTCATTCCCCAAGCAGCTGCAACAGCTGGTGCTGCACCAATCCGAAGCCAGGAGCCTGGAGCTCTTCTGGGCCTCCCACACAGGTGCAAGGTCCCAAGGCTTTGGGCTGTCCTCAACTGCTTTCCCAGGCCACAAGCAGAGAGCTGGATGGGAAGAGGAGCTACCAGGATTAGAATCGGTGACCATATGGGATCCTGGTACTTGTAAGGCGAGTTTAGCTGCTAGGCCATGGGGCTGGGCCCCCTTGATTACATTTTAATGCTATGTGTTTGATGGTTTTTCATTATGAGGAAATGGATATGTAATTGTCTTACCAGATTTGTTTTACAATTGTTTTAAAGATTATTTTCATTGGAAAGGCAGATATACAGAGAGATGGATGTACAGAGAGAAAGATCTTCCATTCGCTGGTTCACTTCCCAAGTGACCACAACAGCCAGAGCTGAGCTGATCCAAAGAGAAAGCTTCTTCCAGGTCTCCCACATGGGTGCTGGGTCCCAAGGTTTTGGGCCATCCTCTGTTGCTTTCCCAGGCCATAGGCTGGGAAGTGGGGCTGCTGGAACATGAACAAGCACCCATATGGGATCCCTACTGTGCTACTGTGCTGGTCCCGACCTTTCTCATTTTTAAAAGTTACCTATTTATTTATTTGAAAGACAAAATTAGAGAATTATCTTTCATCTGCTAGTTCTCTTCCCAAATGGGCACATGACCAGGGCTGTGCCACATTGAAGCCAGGAGCTTCATCCTGGTGAGGTACACAAGTCCAAGTCCTTTGGCTATGTGCTGCTTTCCCAAGCATATTATCTGGGAGGTGAATCAGAAGTGGAGCAGCCCGGACTAGAACTGGTGCACATATATGGCATGTTGGGGGTCACAGGTGATGGCTTTACCCACTCTGCCACACCGCCAGCCTCCCCCTGCCTTTTTTTATTTGGTCATAAGTTAACAAAGAGAAAGGAGGGAATTTTGAATCTGCTGGTTTACTCCTCAGATGACCACAGTAGTTGGGGTTGGGCCAGGGCCAGGCAATGGCCAGAAACAACATCCAGGTCTCCCTCACGGGTGCAGGAGCCCAAGCATTTGAGTCATCCTCCTCTGTTTTTTCAGGCTCATTACTGGAGCTGGATGAAAAATGAACAGTCAAACCGGTGCCTGTAGTATGCAAGATTGCAGTCAGTGGCTTACCTTGCTATGACAGCACTAGCTTCTACCTTTTTAACTGGTAATACTTTCTGTTGCTCCTGTATTGATCAAATTGGTTAATCTGTGAGACCACTATTTTTAGAATTGTACTTGTGTATGATTTTTTTTGTCTCTTCTGCTGAGTGTTTTCCTTAAGCAGATTGATTAGATGGAGCTGCCTTGATTTACACATCAGTGAAAGAAGAGAAAAACCTCGACTTACTGTATAAGTACATCGTGCATAAAACATACGGGTTCCACTTTACCACACCTGCCTTAGTTGTGGAAAAGGATGCAGTTTTTATGTGAGTTCTTCAGTGGTAACACTTTGAGACTCCTCTCTTTATAGTTCATTTGGTTTCTGCATGTTTCTTGGAAGGTGCATCTGGCTGTGTCATGCGTAGCTGGCACTCGCTGCATTGGGTTAGAGAGCGTCACCTTTGACCTTCTGCTGCTTTCTGGCTTGTGCAGTTTTCTGCCTGAGGGAAGAGGGATGCTGCTCGGGGTTTCCTGACCAGCAGGCCTCTGCAACCACTAAGGGGGTAAAGTGATGGTGTTCAGCCGCAGCAAGAATCAACGGAGACAGTCTGATTGAGCATGTCTGTTTATTGTAATGCAAGCACAAACTTATATAGACTAAGAAAGGGGAAGGCAGAAGGGCATCTCCAGACTGTTCCCACTTAAGAGCAGCACTGCAATTGGCTAGAAGGTGCGTCTCTCTAGTCCCTCCTGTCAAGTCATAGGTCAGATGCATGACTGGCAGGTACTCTGTGGGTCATGTATACCAGCCAGGCTGGCAGGTAGTGCGGATTGCACCTGACTTCTAAGAGTTACTTATCAAAGAGGTTCCATCACAGCTTGTCTAAGGACAAAGAAGTGAGACTGTGATGCAGCCCACAGCCCTCGCCTGTATGACCAGTGAACAGGCCAGTTTGAGGTCTCGGTCAGCCAAAACCATTGTCAGGGGCTACCCGGGAACACAGTGTGCTGCGTGCCTAGACCTGCCACATAGGTCAAGCAGGCAGAGATCCAAGAGTGAACTCCCACAGGGTACCATCAGGGGTACGGACTTTCTTTGTGCAGAGCATTGCCAGGATGTCAGCCAGTTATGTGGGATACGTCCGGTCTATACAGGCCTGGTGGGGAGAGGGAGTTGAGCTCTATGGAATGTTTCTTTGGCGACTCTGAGTACGCGTCAGTGCGTGGTCTCATTGGCAGAGGCGACTGCTCGTATCCTTCCATGTACCTGTCAGCGTGGGTTTCGTGGTGCTGAGGGCTTGCTGTGTTTCTGGCATTTCACCCTTGGGGAGCCCCTGGAGTTGATGGCTGTTGACAGGTGTGTGTGCTCATGGGAGAACCCCAGATGTTAATAAAAAGCATAGACAGATGATGATCCTGTGCTTTCAGAAAAGACTCGTTCCATTAGGTGCATGTTCAGGGCTGGGATCCTTATGGGTTAAAAGCATTTACATGTGTTCATTCAGCAAAGCTTACCCAACCCCTCCTGAGTCCCCAGGTGCTCTGCTGTACACAGAGAAATGAGTGGGCCCTGCTCATAGTCCTGCAGAGGACACACGTAGCTAAAGAGAAGATCAATGTTAGAGTAGTGGAGGCATTGTGGCAGGAAAGGCAGTGGGGGATGCTGGAAGATAGGGTGGTGGGTCTCCCAGGCGGTGCGGGATCAGGGATAGAAGGTGAAAGGCTGCAGGTGCAGTAGGGGCTCTTCCTGAATCAAATATGCTTCTTTGTGTGCATTGTAGGAAGGCCTCATTTGGCCTCCTCCTCCTGATTTTGTCTTTATTAATTTGTGTAAAGGAATCTTCTATCTATTGAATGACAAATCCCCATTTCTGCACTAATGGGCTGGGCCACGCTGAAGTCAGGAGCCTGGAACTCAATCTGGATCGTCCAGATATAGTGAGGGTCCGTGTTCTTGGGCCGCCGCTGCTGCCATCCAGGGTGTATACCAGCAGGAAACTAGATTGGCAGCAGGACTAGCACTCACACCCAGGGACTTGGAGCTGAGACACAGGTGTCCCAAGTGCTATATCTAGCACACCTGTTTCAGAAAGTCATCCAGGGCGTTCTGCAGGCAGCAGAGACACAGGCTCAGGGAGCTTGTGGTGTGATTTTGGAAGTCAATCGCTCCTACCTACACCACGTGTGGTCTTAAGGAGGAAGGGATCAGAGACTTTGGGGGTGCTAGCAATGAAGGAGCCTTTAAGGATGTGTGGGTCTTGCCGTGTCTTGAGCATCTTGGGCATGCCTTGTTTTGTGCTTTTGGTTCCGTTTCTTATCTGAGAATTGCTGTATTTGGCAAGGCCATTATGGTGGAGTGCCCCGAATAATCACTCTCTTAAATTAGGCTTCAGCCATCTTGCAAATTAGGTGCCATCCTACCCTGTGGTGTTGAGCAGGGACAGCCTCCATGTAGGATTCTCAGTGACTCTTTGGGTTGTAGGTTATACACAGACTTCTAGACACATCTTCGCATGCCAGCAAAATGAATGAACACATCTACAGAGGGTGTCCCTGGAAGTTCACTTCCTGCAGGAAAGGATCCTCTAGGACTCCCACCTGGGGGAAAGAGTTGTTCGCTGAGCGTTCTGCTATGTGCTGCTATCCGCATGCTCCTCTGCCAGATAGGCCTGTTAATCTGGCTCTTTGTGGTAGGTTTGGTGACTCTGCACATCTGGTGTGTGGTTGCATCCCATACTGGCTCCTTAGGCCTGCATCTCATGAGCTGGTCTGGGTGGAGCAGGACAGGCAGTGTCACCTGCTTGGCTCCTTCTGCAGTGAATTCTGCTTAACTGTTGGAATCTATATGCCAGCCGCTGCCTGCACAGACCCCATCTAGGAGAGGTGTGCTCTGCTGGTGCCTGGAGGCAGTCCCAAGAAAAGCTGGTGAGGCCCTGTCTTTGCTTCAGACCTGCAGGCTGGGACAATGAGAAGAAAATCGCTATTTTACATGAAAACTTCACAACTGTGAAGCCAGAAGATGCATATGAAGACTTTATTGTGAAACCCCCTGTGAGAAAGGTACTCAAGCCTTTGCTTGCTTATGCTTTGCAGGGCTTAAATATTTTAAATGGGCAAAGAAGCAGTTTTTACCTATTCTGCTACTTTATGGGGGGAAAAAAGCGAAGTCATGCCAGAGCTTTTTTGTTGGTCTTTAACAAGGTCTGGTGTGCAGATGGCCTGGGGTGGTGGGCCAGGAATGAATGTATACTCAGTATGCCCCTGAAGCTGGTGGCGGCTCACGAAGTCTACACCCAACTGTGACCCCCTCTGCTTTGCTGTTTCAAACCCTCTGATGCTAGGGTATTCTGTAGATCTCCTGGGAGGTGGCATTCTGCACCTGCCAGACTCAAAGACAGTAATTGGCCACCTGCTCTGGCTGGTTTGGGGAGGGGTCTGTGCCAGGCTTGAAAATGATCTGAGCAGGGATTCCCCCTGGCCCTGTGTGGAGGTCCTAGCCCAAGCTTCTCCTTGAAGCATGAATCATGAGGGTAGTTGTGAATGTTTTTGGCCTGTGGTCATAAACCTATGTCACTTCACAGCTGGTCCATGACAAAGAGTTAGCAGCGGAGGATGAGCAGGTGTTCCTAATGAAGCAACAGGTAAGAAGGCTGTGAGGTTGGAACAGTGACTGCTGCGTGCGGGAGGTGCTAGCTCCAGGGCAGGGCTAGGAGGCTGACAGTCAAGGAGCTGACAGTATTCCAGTTCTCCCCATTGGTTTGCTGCGAGTTGCGGTTGGAGTGCCTACCTGCGTGCTGTGCAGACTGTCCTGCAGGCATGGTGTTAGTGTCTTTTAAATGTCCTTTCTCTGGAAGGACTCATTTTCTGGCCTACTTCCTCTGGGGACAGTCAGTCAAGTCGGCCTCACCTCTGTTGTATTGCAAAGCTGTGCACAGCCCCGTTCAGGAAAGCAGGTGAAGCTTATTTTGTGAGTAATGATGGTAACTTCCCTGAGTTGACAATCTAGAACACTAACCCAACTTCATTCCTCTTTTACCTGGGCTGTTGTTACAGTCTTGGGTATGCCTGATGGGACAGGGATGTCACAGGGTTGTTAAAATTTATTAACTCAAGCAGCAGACCAAGTTGTTATCTTCCCTATGACTGGAGTAGGCCAGAGCCAGGAATTCAGTTCAGATCTTAGCGCCAACCCCCCCATGCAGGGATGCCCCCAACTACTTAAGCCATCACTGCTGCTTCCCTGGATGACTTAAGCAGGAAGCTGGCAGCAGGAGCCAGAGTGGGTTTTGCTAAGTTCTTAACTGGTTCCTTGGAATATTCACCATTCCACTGCTGCTTTTGTTTTGTAATTACAGCGTAAAACTTAGGACTTTGTTGTTGCTAATAGTGCCCTCTGGTGGAATATTGGAGTAAATTATTCTCCAGACCTGTACACTGTGCGGGCCTTGGTTAATGGGCAGTTTGTCCCTCTCTTTGCAGTCACTCCTTGCCAAGCAGCCAGCCACGGCCACAAGAGCCTCCGTGAGTATCTTACACTACACAGAGGGTCAAGGCCCAGTGTCAATTGTGGCTTCAAACTTGATGCTATTACTTGTGTGTGTGTTCAAATTTTCAGAGGGAATCTGGTTTCCCTATAGCCAACCCCACAGCTTGAAACATGGAATGTGATGAAGGAAGACAGCTGGGAGTGAACTAACTTTGCTCTCACGATCACTCTTCTCTGAGAAGCTGAGGTCTAGAAAGGGACTAGGCTGGGAGCAGACTCCAGTCTTACTCCCAGACTGGGAAGGAGCCAGGGGAATCAGGTCTTCATTTTTGGAATATGTGTTGGCTGTTATTTTTATGCCTGTATGTGATCTGGGCTGCTTTTTGACTTAGGAATCCCCTGCGAGAGGACCCTCTGGCTCTCCAAGGACCCAGGGCCGAGGAGGGCCAGCCAGTGTGCCCAGTGCTTCCCCTGGCACGTCAGTGAAGAAGCCAGACCCAAACATCAAAAGTATGTATCCCATCTGCCTGGGGAGAGCTGTTCCCTGCTGGGGCTCAGGTGGAGCCCCTGAAAGCAGGGCTGTTTTCTTCCCAAGGGTGGACTGCTTTCCATTTCTCTTCTCCCAGAGGGAGAGGTTCATGGTTGCCAGACCAGGGCCTATTTATTCCTTTGTTGAACTGATAGTCCACATATTTGACTTAGTGTAAAAAAAGAGAGAGGAAAAAAATGATGATTAGGTTCTACACAGTCCCTCATAGAGGATTCCAAATTAGAAATTCATATTAAATGTGTATTTTGAATTCTTGATTTTTAATCCCATCCTACTCCAAAAGGTAGACAGACCGAGGGGCCTTTCATCTACAGGTTTACTTCCCAAATGCCTGCAGCGACCAGGGCTGGGTCAAGCCAAAGCCAGGAGGTAGGAGCTTCCTCTGGATCTTCCATGTGGTTTGCAGATTCCCAAACATCTGAGCCATTAGCTGCTGTGCTTCCCAGGGTGCTGGGTCCCAAGTGGAGTGCAGGACTTGAATGCACACTCCAGTATGGGATGTCAGCGTCCCAGGTGGTAGCTTAATTTTGTGCCCCACAACACTTGCCTCGAATTCTTACTTTTGTTTCTCATTTGTATTATTACTACTTAATTCTTACCTGCTTGGTGAGTGTTTATTCAGGATGTGTACCTTTTTCAGCAGGTTTGGAGTGTTAGGCTTAGAAACCTTGTTAAGAGCTCTGCCTTAGGTCCGATGGGTAAATCCTTGCCTTAGATCCACTGGGATCCTGTATGGATGTTGGCTTGTGTCCCAGCTGCTCCTCTTTTCATCCAGCTCCCTACTTGTGACCTGGGAAAGCAGTAGAGGATGGCCCAAAGCCTTGGGACCCTGCACCTACATGGGAGACTCAGAAGAAGCTCCTGGGTCCTGGCTTCAGATCAGCTCAGCTCCAACTGTTGTGGCCACTTGGGGAGTAAACCAGCAGACAGAGTATCTTTCTGTTTCTCCTTTCTGTATATCTGCTTTTCCAATTAAAAAAATTAATCTTAAAAAAATCCTGTCTTGCAGACAAGGATATGGCGTGAAGCACAGGTCATCTGTTAGGCTCCCAGACAGATGTAACATGTTTCTGCTTAGTACTGCTGCTATCACCTACTTAGCCTCAGCAGTAGCATTGGATAAGGACTCAGTATAGAAGTTGGTAGTCTGGGAAGATGGTAACCACAATGACTGATTCCAGTAAGAACCAGTTTTTGTTTAATTAAGTCATCCAATTTGTGAAGTGCTTTTTTTCTGTTTTTCCCACAGATAATGCAGCCAGTGAAGGCGTGCTGGCCAGCTTCTTCAACAGTCTTTTGAGTAAAAAAACCGGTTCCCCTGGAAGTCCTGGTGCTGGAGGGGCACAGAGCACAGCCAAGAAGTCAGGTAGAGCTGGGTGCCGGGGACCTGGGACCCTGGCTGTTCAGCAGGGCTGGGAGGATGGGGAGCAGACAGGAGTGCCCACCCACACCTGACTTACAGAGCCTTAGGCTCCTGAGTGGCCAAGCAGGGAAACAGGTCCCCCTCATACTGAGCAGTAGGAGCATTTTAGTCCTGGAGGTTCCCTCTGCCCATATTGTGTATAATTCGTGCCCATTCACTTTCTTTGGACCTGTCCTTTGAATGAGTAAGTGAATTATGAATGTGACCCTGCTGCTGTAGCAGCTCTATTAGAGGTTGTGGTTGTTGAAAGAGCAATGTGGTTCCTTAGAGCAATGAAAACTAGCCGAGTTCATTTCAGTAGAGTAAAGCAAAAACAGTTTGCAAGTCAGATACTTCTCAGGAGCAGAGCTTACTCTGAGAAGTGCAGCAGTTGAAGAGAAGGGAAGTGAGATACAGAAAACACCCTACTTGGATACTGCTTGGTCTGTGAGCCAGATGGTTGGTTAATGCCTACGTAACTTGCTGAAGGCCTTCCTGCCACTAGCCAAAGATTGGTTATTGTGATTAGATTCTGAAATGGTTTGGTCTGTGTTGAATCCAGAACTGGTACCCAGTCCAAATTCACGGTCTCCCACAGGTTTATGTAACAGGATCTAGAGTGGACTGTTGGCGTTTATCCTGTTTCATCTTTTCTGTGGTGCTGTATAGGGTTTCTGTTGAGGTCACTGTCCCCAGGCTTACCGTGGGCTTGGGCTGTGAATCCTTACTAACACATGTAAGGGTCTCTTCCTCCCACACACAGATTCCTCCATCACATATAACATCTCTGGTGGCCCGCCTGCCTCACCTCCCCTGGGAGCCTTTAGGATGATATGAGGTCTTGGAGATCTGTGGAAAGAACCAAGTTTCTTGGCAATTAATGCATTTTTAAAAGGTCTTTACTTTTAATTTTCCATAGACCATAGGGGTATTATTACAGTATTTTCCAGACTGCTTCTCAGGGCAGAGGAGATCCTCGGAGGTTCCTAATCCATCCATAGGGCACCCTTGTGACTCAGAGTCTCATCTGGTGGCTCAGGTTGCTCTTCTGGACCCCAGCTGATGTTTGACAACAGAAAGCTGTGGGCACCAACTCTGTGAGCGCTCTGGCATTTGTCTTGGCTCTTACTGCTAGAAAGGGTTTCCCGGCTGACTATAGGAGTTGGTCTAGATTATGGAAATTAGAAGCAAATCCCACATGTATGTCTGTGCAGGGCAAAAAGGCATTTGTGACAGCATGACCCTCTGCCCCTTCCAGGTGGTGTGTGCAGGATGTGAATTTGCAGGCTAAAAGTTTTTAGAAAGGCCTGTGTTTGTGGCCCAAAGTGCCCTCTGCCAGGACTCGGCACAGACCTAAGACATTGAGAATCAAGGAGGGCTGAATTAGAGTCGGTTTCTAAGTTTCTGCAATGAACAAGCTTCCTCATTCCCATTGAGGTTACTATCTGTATTTTCTGTGTTTTGCCACTGCTTGTTAAATAAAGGGCAAAGGTTTATATGGCTCATAGGATGGTGTGGTCCAGGCTTTGGCTTGGGCCCCTTGGTGTGTGGCAGGAGAAAGGGTCCTGTCTCAGAACTGAAAGACAGAGACCCAGCTGCAGCTTCCACAGTCCCCTGGTGAGCCCACCCCAGAGACCAAGGCCCTTGCCCCTCGTGTGTCCCCCTTACCCCTCCATTTTGCTGTGCCAACTCCATCTAGCACGTGGACTTTGGGGAGACAAAGTACATCCAGGTCTCAGCATTGCTGCCACACATAGTTGCAGAAGCCTGCCTCTTTTGAAGTGTCCCTTTGTAAAGATTGTTTTCTCATACCATTGTCCTTTCTCTTTCTTTTTTTTAGGACAAAAGACTGTGTTATCAAATGTTCAGGAAGAACTGGATAGAATGACTCGAAAGCCAGACTCCATGGTAACAAACTCTTCAACAGAAAATGAAGCCTGATCCTCCTTACAAAGTGCATATGTCAAATGACCAAATAACTCTGTATATTGATCTGCTAAGACCAGGATTTTTCTGATATGGCACATGCTATCAGTTTTGGGGCAGGGGAGATGAACTCTAAACAAACAAAAAACTTCATTGGCTTGTCCAGGTGTGAAATACACATTGAGGAAGGTTGTACGTCAGACCCCTTACTAAGGAAAACCCTTGGACTCTTGGGTTGTGCTCTCGTTGGCAGGGAGTGCCGCTGCTTTCTTGTGGAGGGAAAGTAGAGCGAGAGAGGGAGGGCCCCTTTCCTGTCGGGTGGAGCAGAAGAGCCTAGGCAATCATTGACCTGAGAGGGTGGTGTCTGACCATTTGTGTGTTAGCAAATTCACTTGTTCTTGGAGGCAGATTAAGTAGCAGAAAGTGCAGGAAAGGGAGCGACTGGAGGGGGAAGCGAGAGAAGTGATGATGGAGAAGCTGAACGTGAGGGAGGTGGAGGAGTAGGAGGTGAGCAGTGTTAACAGACTGTGTTTACAAGTCGAGTAATCATTGTTTAAGACTTACCAATTAGAAACATTTCCAAACTAAACACTAAGCAAATGGGAATTAGACCTGTTCTTGAAGCATTTTGCACTAATAAAGATGTGTTAAGTGCGAGGCGTCTGAGTCAGCTGGCGCTGCTGCCCAGGGTCCACATACTTGGCCAAGCCATGTTCTGATGGGAGGCCCTAGGCTCCACGCACATGCGTGGTGGGGCAGACAGTCACTGCAGAATGTATTCAAAGTCAGCAGTTTAATTTACTTTAACTTGTGTTTTCTAAATAGTTCTTGCTTTTTAAATTGTTATTAATTATTTTTTAACTACCACAGGCTGGCCTATAATAGGAATGGGGTGACCGCCCTCCCTTTGTCGTGGTGCAGTGCGCTGCACAGTGTGGGGACAGTTCACAGGCCATTGCACTCCAGTTACCTGGCTCGCAGCAGGCCCTGCCTCCTAGCTGGGGGACCTTCAGAGTCCTGGCTCCCTGGTCTGACCAGTGCTATTAGGTGGACAAATATGTGGGAGTCTTTTTTACTGAAGATGAAAGTTAAAGATTTTTGTGTTTTACATAAAATGTAGCACTTTGTTTTCGTATGGAAATGATAGTTTCAGATATCTCCCATTTAGGGCAAATCCATGCACATTGTCATGTCACATCACTATTCTGGGATTGAGTTCTGTGAATTTGGAATGGCACTTTTTAATTTTATATATGATACAGCGTTGAGATGCAAACACTACCATGAACTGTGTTGTCAAACCAAGGGAGAGAACCACACTTCACATACATGGCATTTCCTATGAGTGTTGTCCTGTCTCAGCATCACTTCTGTAATGTTATGATATGTACATACCTGCTCTGACTGACCACTAATGTGCTGGGCATCACAGCATAGCCTGTGTGATGTAACAAGACCCATAAAACTGTCTTGACTTGCTTATAAGGTCTGAACACTGTTGATGAGAAAGTTGAGTATTTACTTGCCTTTCTGACGAGCAAAAATATGTTTCTTGTGCCAGTTTTTGTTGTTGAAATATATTATTTTTTTCTTAAATTTTTTTTCTTTTAATATATTGTGGCTTCCTATTATCAGGTTGTCTAGGTGATGATGGCAAACTCTGTGGAATGATAGTAATGGTGTGATGACCAACAGAGTCCAAACAGCTTGTGGCCACACCAAAGGGCAGGGAGTAGAAGGGATACTTACTGCTTCTGCAGCAGGCGGGGGCAAAATGAGTGACCTCAGGAGTCGGAAAGCATTTTAGGAAGGGCACATGCCCAAGAGGGATGTGGTGTGGTTTGAAATTTTAATGCAGAATTTTAAATTGTTTTTATTTTTTATCCTTTGAACTGATAAGCACTTTGTGTGTCAATATCAAATGTCCTGAGCACGCAGAAAAAGGTCCAGACACCGGTCTTGGGAAGGAAGGGATTCATGGAGACTACTTCCTGGCTCTTATGTCAGAGGGCTGCTCCTTGGAGCGGGAGTAACTGGGGCACAGCGTCTGTGCTCAGTGCTTGCCAAAGCCAACCTACCCTGAGGAGCTGCAGGGTTCTTCCTGGGCTGGAAGGAGAGAGGACTTTGTTACTTTAGGGTTCTCAAGCATTGGAACCAAAGGCCAAATAATAGCCTTTACTCATTAAAGTAAGATTCATTTTATTTGCAGAATACACTTGTATGGTAGACTGTTAAAGAAAATTTTATGGCTATTTATACACATTATAATAATCACATCTACTATTTGTCTTTAAAATGGAAAAATCAAAGAAAAATAAGCCCAGCCTTGAAGAGGGGGCCTAGATGAAGGCCCATGAATTGGTCTTTTCTAAAAAAATGCAACAGGTATGCTGCTAGATTATTTTATTTTGTTTGCTTTTTTTTTTTTTTTTTTTTTTTGGTTTGGCCTTTTAAGATCAGTATTTAAACTGTTTTATTAATTTAACAAAGTTGAAAGTGACTGCTCTGTACATCATGATCATAACATGTTGATGCTGTAAGTGAAAGTTCGCTGTCATCTAGATACTAAGTTTATTGGTGTTTTTAACGTCAAACTAGGACTGCAGGTTATCTGTCCCCCACCAGCCTTAGACAGGGGTATGACTCAATCTGGGGGCCGTATGCAGTCATGTGGAACCTTGCTTTCTAGTGCTCGGGGGAAATGTCTAATTACTGGCTTCAATAAACATGAATCCAGACTGCTTACGTATTTGGTGACTTTCTTTATGATAAATCATTATCCGGAAATACATTGAATTGCTGATTATATGAGGTGTCAGATTAGGTAGCTAAAAGTGAATGTCGCTCACTTGAAATTACCAGAAATTCTGAAAAGCCATGAAGCCAAGTGTTGAAGGTGGTGGTGGTGTGCCCAGCTGTGTGTGGAGTGCGGGGTTGGTGTGTGAGCTGTCTGCTGCACTCTCTTCCCGCCTGGGTGTCTTCCTCCTGTCTGAATTGCACTGAGTGATTTTTCCTGACTCAGTGGGCAACCCAGGGGATTTATGAAAGGACTTCAGAGCAACTGTACCATCAAGCTCCTCACTGACTTAAGTAGGGTGCCAACAATCTTTCCAAGAAGAATGATTTCTTTTTTTCTCTATAGAGATTTATTTATTTATTTGAAAGATGTTACAGAGAGAGGGAGAAATAGACTTCTTCCATCCTCTGGTTCGGTTCCCAGATGACCACAGTAGCTGGAGCTGGGCCAGCCTGAGGCTAACAGTCTGTTAGTCTCTCTGGTCTCTGCACTTTAGGGGTGCAAGGATCCAAGTCCCAGGACCATCTTGCACTGCTTTCCCAAGCAAAATCAGCTGGGACTTGAACTGAAGCTCATACCAATGCCAGTATTGCAGGTGGCAGCTTAACCCTATTTTATTTATTTATAAGATTTTTTTGAAGGCAAAATTACAGATGATAGGGAGAGACAGAGAGATCTTCCATCCATTAGTTCACTCCCTAAATGGTTACCACAGCCAGAGCTGAGCTGATTCGAAGCCAAGAGCCAGGAATTTCTTCTAGGCCTCCCACATGGGTACAGGGGCCAAGCACTTGGGTCATCCTTCTGTTGCTTTCCCAGATACATTAATAGGAAGCTGGATTGGAAGTGAAAGTGGAGCAGCTGGGACTTGAACTGGTGTCATGGGTGTCAGTGTTACAAGTGGTAGTGTTACCTACTATACCATAGCACTGGCTCCTTTGCTTTTTTCTGTTGACTGAATTGACTTTAAGCATATTGAGTTTTGTTTGCTGTTTAAAGTTGATTTATCACACAGATTACCTCCCCAGCCTTTTATTTTATGAAGTTCTAAATGAGCACCAGATTCCTTTACACAAGTTTACCACTGTTAGCCTGCTCACCATGTGTGCTTGCTTTCTCTTCTCCCCTGGCCTTCTTTCCCTCTCACTACACACTGTTGTGCACTGCAAACTTATTTTTCCCCTATAGAATTGCATTCTGGGTTTACCTTGTTGACGTGGGACGATTCTGGGGAGACACTTGGGTGAGAACACAGTGTTCTCTGTGAGGCTGAGCATGTCCATCAGCCTCTCCCCACAATGGTGGTGCCGGGTTTGAGTCTTTGGTCAGGGTGCTGTCTTTCAGATCTTGGGGGGTCTGCCAGGTGGTTTGGGGTTATTTGCGTTGGTCACAGCAATAGTACCACTGTGGTAGCAAATGAAAGTGCCAGAGTGGTAGCCCCCAATCACCACAGCCCTGTGAGGCAGGCACTGCTGTCATCTCCACCTGCATTTACAGATGAGGAGATGAGGCACAGACTGAACAGCTACAAGGCTGGCATGCCCGCTGCGGAGCCTGACCTCGTGGCCATGCCCTGCTGGTATTCCTCCTGCTCACTGGAAGCAGATGGGGAAATGACAGCATGGGTGCTGTGTTTGACTGTGGGCCTGAGCTGCTGCGTGCTGCTCTTCAGCCTTCTTGCTGTCACGGGTGGAGCAGCTACTGCTGTCAGGTGAGCATAAGAGGCAGAGGATATATCCAGCATGTCACATTTGGTGGGGTGAGGCTGCAAGCACAGGACCTGGCTGGGAAAGGCAGATGGCGTGCCTGTCCCCTTCTGCCTGGGGAAGCTGCTTACAGCATGAACAACAACAGGGCTCACTGTAGCAGGCCAGATTGGACTTGTTCAGTACAGGTGTGGACAAGGTTGCTTTGTGTGCCAGCCTGCCTGAGTTCCCCACCCCCTGGCCATTCTGGACTCCCTTCTGCCTCCTCTGGGTTGGGAAGCAAACAGCTGGAACATGCAGGGAGAGTGCAGGCTCCAATAGGTTCACATTATATTATGAATCAAAACACAAGTGATCCATCAGATAAGAAACGTTACGCACAAGACTCACCCTGCCAGGTTCCTGACCCCATCTTTGTGAAGTTGGGGAGAAGCTTTCTTTCCAGTCACCATGAACACTGGGAGAGGTGCACGTGCACTTGTCGCTTGGTGGGTCTTTGCATGGTGGCTGTCGTCCCTAATTCCTGTGGGTCCAGCATTGCCATCCTCAGGCCATGCTCCTTCTGCCTGTAGCATTCCACTCTAGTTTGCCATCTCATCCCGAAGGCAGATGGCAGAGATCAGGAGGATGGGTACCTGCCTGGCACTGACCCAGAAGGATGCTGTTCAGTGCCCAGGATCTGGGAAGCCACAACTCCCCTGAGGGCATCCAGTGTGCTATGCTGGCGAGCTGGGCCGCAGCTGAGACCCAGGCTCTGAGCCCAGGAGTGCCACAGCCTGTGAGGAGAGGAGCTGTTGGTGCTCAACCTGCCATAGGGTGCCCATCCAGGACTAGGGACCAGTGTGCCTCTCTCGGCCTTGGAGGGAGGCTTTGCTCGGCAGGCTCTGTGGGTCAAGGTAGCATTTTTCCTTTAGCGCTGCAAACATTTCACTTTGTGTTCCACTGTGATTGTTCTCATCAGGCGACTGCAGATAAATGACAGTGGCAGTATTGTCCTGTGTCGTGTCTCTCTGTAACAGGCACTTGACCCTCTTTCTTGCGTGGCTCTGAATCAACATTCCTAAGTGATCACCAACCTCCCCCAACAATCCCCAGACCCACCTCCCCCAGCGACACTTTACAAAGTCCTTCTGGAAAATTCAGGCGCAATGTGAGACACTGGAGTTTTTGTTGTGGGAAGAATTCCACAATTTAAAACTGTTCCTTTATAAGGCAGTAATTTATTTTAAAGACGGGGTGCTTTGCTCCATCTGTCAGCAGCCTGTGTCATGTTACATCTGTCCTTGATATTTAAACTATTTGGCACTGTTACAGTGTGCATCCATGTCTGACCTATTCAGAACTAATCTAACAATCGCTAGCCTGGGAGCTGCACGGGAGACGAAACCGCGGTTGTGTCAGCTTTGTGTGCTGAACCTCCAGTTAGCATTGGGTGGTGGGTTCCTGGGAAGTACTATGAGATGAGTAAAAGGTGAGGGTTTGGCTCCTGGCTCCTTGCTTCTTGCTTGGGATCAACTCAGCTCTGGCTGTTGGCAACCTTTGGGGAGTGAACTAGCAGATGGGAGATCTCTCTCTCTTTAAACATACTACATATATATGTATTTATATATATATATTTATATATTTATATATATATGTATTTATTAAGCCATTTCAGTAGCTGGTGTTGTGGCACAGTGAGTTAAGCCACTGCCTGTGACTCTGGCATCTGCAATGGGCACTAGCTGGGGTCCCAGCTGTTCCACTTCAGATCTAGCACCCTACTCATGCATCAGTGAAAAACAGCACTTTTTAAAAAAAATTATTCTTTTGAAAGGCAGATATATATAGAGAAGGAAATATAGAAAGATTTTCCATCCACTGTCCACTGGCTCACTCAAGTGGCCGTTATGGCTGGAGCTAAGCCAATCTGAAGCCAGAAGCTTCTAATCATGTCTCCCATGCAGGTGCAGGGTCCCAAGGCTTTGGGCCATCCTCTACTGCTTTCCCAAGCCATAGACAGGGAGCTGGAAAGGTTTGGCACACCTCTGCAGCCTGGATATGAACTGGCGCCCATGTGGGGTCCCCGTGCATGTAATATGAAGCTTTTGCCACTAGGCTGCTGCACCTGGCCCCAGAAGATGGCTTATATATTTGGGCCTCTGCTTTCATGTAGATGGAGTGGCTGGCTCCTGGCTTTGGCTTGGCCCAACCCCAGCCATTGGTGGCTATTTATGGTGTGAACCAGCATAGAAAATATTTTTTTCTTTCTTGTTCTCTTTCTGTGCCTTTCAAATAAGCAAGTAAAACCAAAAGAAATTATGACTTTAGAGGAACAAATCATGCCAGTGTCGGAAGGAGCCATGGTCGGCAGTGAGCATCCATCCAAGTGCTGCTGCTGCCCTCCTGCCCCCTCCACCTCATCAGCACACCTGCCCCAGACCCGGCAGCGCTAAGCGTCAGGTCCTAGGCTGAAGAACACAGCCACGAGTGCAGACTGAGCAGGAGCGCTATTTTAGGGCACACGGGCTTTCAATATGCCATAAATCCTGTCACCTGAGCAACCGCCTGATTTTTTTTGGACAAGGCACCTCCACCATCTGTTTGTGTGGGCATCCGAATACATGGTGGAGGTGTGTGGCTTCCTGGGTGCTCCCTCCTCCCTGCCATCCTCCGTAACCAGAGCTGTCTGCCCAGGGCATGGGTTGGTGACACTGGAGAAGGCAGTGCTAGGGAGGTGAAGAGGACGGGCTGTCCTCCATGACTGGTAGTCTGGGAGCACCAGACAGGCCAGTTACTCTCCACACAAAAACCAGAAGCTTCAAAAGGCTTTCCTAGCCCTGTCTACAGCCTTTCTCTGGGCAGAGTGCAGTGGAGGTCTGTGCCTGGGTTGGGGTGGGGGGAGCATGCAGACCTGGGCAGGGCTGGGAGTGTGAGCATGGTAAGGGTAGGGGAATAATCCTGCATGGAGTAGGGGTTTCTTGTATTATTTTGTTTGATGTCTTATTGGGAAGGCAGATTTTCAGAGAAGAGAAATAGAAAGATCTTCCATCTGCTGGTTCACTCCCCAAATAGCTACAATGGCCAAAGTTGAACTGATTCAAAGCCAGGAGCCAGCAGCCTCTTCGAGGTCTCCCTTGTAGGTGCAGGATCCCAAGTCTTTGGGTCATGCTACTGCTTTCCCAGGCCACAAGCAGGGAGCTGGATGGGAAGTGGAGTAGCAGAGACATGAACTGGCACCTATATGGGGTCCTGGCTC